AGAGCAGCCTGCACTGGCCTTAGGGCCTGGTGTCCACTCTGAACTGGGGAGCCCTGGAAGAGGCTGAGCGTGGGGAAGGTGGGGAAGGAGTAGAATTTCGGGTTCTCAGAATGACTGCTCTGGTTTCAATTGTCTCAATTCTGACAGGTTGGGGTGGCCCTTGAGGACATTGCCCTGTACTTCTCCAGGAAGGAATGGATGCTCCTTGATGAGGGTCAGAGACGCCTGTACCTGAATGTGATGCAGGAGAACTTTGAACTTGTATCCTCGCTGGGTAAGACCCTGGCTCTCGCCAGTGACCTAGACTTGGCTTTGCATTTCTCATGCCCCTCTCCCCAGGGTGTGCTCTGTCCTCACTCGTGGTTGTGGGCACTGCTTGATTTCCCAGTTTTCCGGGTCCTTACTGTCATTGGTAGAGCTGGTTTCACTGCCCTTTCCCTCCCTGCAATCACAATACATGCTCTATGGGACTCATAGGGAAGGATGTGTGGTTGGTATCATCTATATTCTATATATTAATTCCTTTTTACATACAGGTACATGACTTTTTGAATGTGCTTAATTGTGCTTCAGCTATGTAAGATGTTTTGTTTGTTTCTTTTTACAAATTCAATGTATTGGTCACCTTTCGTTCAGAAAGTCTTAGTGTCTCTATTTTTCTAGCAGACTCAGATGCCAGTTATTAGTGTCAATTTAAGAAATACTCAAACCTGTAAAGAATTTTTGTGAGTTTATTTGAGCCAAACTGTCGAAAATTGCCAGGAAGCAAAATCTCAAGGCATTGAGATAATGCTGCAGAGAATGGCAGTTTGGCACCTTATTTTATACATTACAATCAAAAGAAAATGTAAGTTTGATACATGAAATTAAGTGGTGATAGATTAGGCAATCGGGGGTGGGGGTGGGGGAAGCAAAGCTGGGAAACCTCTGAGATTGGATAAAAAGTAAAAGGATACATCTTAGGTGGGGACAGGATAGTTAATAGTCAACAATTAGCAGGATAAAAATAACAATGAGAGGATTTGTAGTCTCTGCTGTGGTGCATTGGTTGTACCCTGAGGGGTCCAGAAAAAGGGAAGTTAGGAAGTTACCCTTACATTCCAACCTTGTGTTCTCATAGATGCAAAAGACAACTCATTGGCTCAGTTAAGGTAAAGATTGACTGGTCAGGGAAGATTCTAGCCTAGGACTTGACTACCTGCCATAACCTGCTTTTTGTTAAAAAGTTTTAATCTCATACCATCTTTTGTGGTTACTTTTGGTGTCTGAATTTACAAGGTTACTACACAGGTGTTCCCTGAGCTTGTCAGGTTAGCATGTGGCACATTTTCATCCACACCAGTGTTTACCTAAAAAGTTTTTTGGTTTTTTCCCCCCATTACTTTTCAGAGAGAGTGGAAGGGAGAGAGAGAGAAACATTGATGCAAGAGAGACACTTGATTGGTTGCCTCCCGCATGTGCCCCAACTGGGGCCAGGATCGAGCCTGCAACTGAGATATATGCCCTTGATCTATTGAACCCGGGACCCTTCAGTCAGCAGGCTGACGCTCTAACTACTTTGCCAAACGGGCTGGGGCCTAAAAAGTTTTTGTTGTTGTTGTGTTTAATCCTCAACCAAGGATATTGTCCCCATTTATTTTTTTTTTATTATTATTATTTTTAATGGAGAGGGAGAAGAGAAAGAAGAGAGAGAGATCCACATGAGAAAGATTGGTCCTGACTGGGGCAGGGGTTGAACCTGCAACCAAAGTACTTGCCCTTGACCTGGAGTCGAATCAGAGACCCTTTAGTGGGCAGTCCAATGCACTAACCACTAGCCACACTGGCCAGGGCTATAAAGCATTTTTAATTCAGTTATGTAGAGCTTTTTCAGACAGTGCTATTGTGGTGTTATTAGCCTGGAGTATAGTGTTATCATATCTTTATTAATCACTAGGCACTTGAAATATTTGTATGACTTTCTTTCTGTGTCACAATGTTTGCTTTCTTTGTGGATATGAGCCGAATCCACAATATCTCCAAGTGATATGTTCATATCACTTAACTGGTATTTTCTCCTGTCTGGTAGATTGCCTTTTCTTCTTTTTTTTTTTAATACATGTTTATTGATTTCAGAGAGAGGAAGGGGGGGAGAGAGAGACAGAGAGACAAAAACATCAATGATGAGAGTCATTGATTGGCATTGGGGATCGAGCCCACAACCCAGGCATGTGCCTAGACCGGGAATCAAACCTGGATCTCCTGTATCCTAGGTCGATGCTCAACTGCTGAGACATGCCGGCCGGGTCATTTCATTTTGTTAATTGCTGTTTTGATGTGAACAAGCTTTTTCATTTGTTGTCGTCCAGACTGTTTATTTTTATTTTTTGATCTGGTGGTCAGTGTCACATCCAGAAAATTCTAAAACAGATCACCAAAGCTTTTTCTCTAGGTTGTCTTGAAGGAGTTTTAAGTTTTAGAATTTTCATTTAATTCTTTCATGCAGTTTGAGTTAAATTTTATCAGTGGTGTCCAGTTTTGTTGTTTTACAAGTGAATATTCATTTTTACCAGCACCATTCATTGAAGAAACTATCTTTCCTTTCTTATGTGTCTTGTGTTAGCAAATACTGCTGAGAACATACTGATTTTTTTTTTTCTTTCCTGGGGTAGTTTGTGGCCAAGGGGATTTTTTTTGGAATTCATGCTGACAACTCTGTAGTGTCATTTGATGTGTTAACTGTGGGATGTTCGTAGATGTTGCAGGGGCTTCTGTGGTTTCTAAAAACAAAAATTTCCAGTATTTATTATAGAACAGGCCACAAGGGTCAAAGTTACTGCCGGCACAGTGGATGAGAGGTGACTGTGACCTTTGTTTTTGACCTGAGCTATCTTCAAAATATGTTTGGTGCCACACTCTTCCCAGACATCCTTTCTTTGCAGTTCTTCCTTTTTTGCTCTTCTCTATTGCTGTTTTTCTTCACTGGACTCTTACTCCCCTTGTGGTTATTTTTGTTCATCAATAGCTGTCCGGAAAAGGGATGAATACTTGTATCCCCTGTTCTCCCATCTTGCTGATGTCACTCACATAGATCTTTTTCTGGTGGTCTCCTTTGTGTTGCATTGTTCTACCACACTGCTGGCCATTCATCTCTTCAGTTTTTCTTTTAGGATTTATATCACCTGTACCCCATATAATGGCTCAACTGGGATTTGCAGGGAAGAATCATTTGTGCATTACATCAGAAACATAACTCCATCCATGGCAGAGTGGGCCCAGAGGCCGTCTTGCCTTGTTGAAGGGCTATTGGAGAGGGATTGACACCAGGGCTTTAACCAGGAACCCATTTTGTTCAGCATTGGCAGTTTCTCACCCCATTCTACTTGTGCTTGCTTATCGTTGACACTTTGCCAACTACTCAGTTCTAATATTTATAATTTCTACTTGGATTCCCAGCCCATGGGTAATCTTTATCTTTCTAAACTTTGCACCTCAAACATTTCCCTTATAGGTTTCTCTTTACTGAACTCCTAACTTGGTCCATGCCTGCAGAGCTTTGTAGTGTTCATGTATCATTATAGTAATTTGAAGATCATGTGCTCTAATATAATAGATTTTTATGCGTTTGGGCACATTCAAATTATTCTACACAGACTCATGTCATCAGCAAAAAATGTCCTACAGAAAGCGATTTATGGAGGAACAACTAGTGGACCCTGCCTCTCTTTTTTTGTGTTCCATCTTATGCTCATGTGCTTTCTTCGATTTGGTTTGCACCACTTGCTGCTGCCCTTTGGGGACCAAGTAACGTTATAGCAGTGATTTCTTAGTATCTCACTTGTCTTGAAAATCATCCCATAAAATGATGCCTACCTGTGACAAATGGATATTTCAGATGTGATTACCCCTTCCCTATAAGGTAAACAAGTTCTTCACCAGCATTTCCTTTTGTTCAGGTTGCTGCTGTGGAGCAGAGGATGTAGAGGCACCAACTGAACAGAATGGTGAACAGAATGGTTCTGTAAGAGTGTCACTGGCAAAGAATCCCAAGGTAGCTTTTTTCCCTCAGAAGAGCCACCCCTGCAGGAGTTGTGGACCAGTCTTGAAAGAGATTTTCCAGCTGACTGAACAGCAGGAAACACAGCACAGCCAGATACTCTTGAGTTGTGGGGCATGTGCAAAACAATTTTATTTCAGTGCAAAATTTTACCAGCACCAGGAACAGCATGTCAGAGAGAAGCCTCTCAGAGGTGTGGACAGAATCTCACTCACTAAGGGATGCAATGTCAGTGTATCACAGAAGCCGTTTACCTGCAGGGAGGTTGGGCAAGACATGTTTACTGGGTCAGGACATCTGCAACAACTGTCTGCTCACACCAGGGACAGGCAAAATCAAATCATGGCATCTGGGGTGACTTTTCAAAGAAGAAATAATAATTACACCAGGAAAGAATATAAAAGAGCCATTGGCTGCATCCACACAGTTGTGCAGGATAAGGGTGTTCATACTGGAAAACAGTGTTTTGTGTGCCATGAATGTGGAAAATATTTTACTACTAGCAATGGCCTCTGTCATCATCAGAGATTTTGCACAAGAAAAAGGCCTTATGAGTGCAGTGACTGTGGGAAATCTTTTACCTATAGCAGTGCCCTCCATTATCATCAGAGAGTTCACACTGGAGAAAGGCCACATGAGTGCAGTGAATGTGGAAAATCTTTTACCAGGATCTATTACCTTCGTTGTCATCAGAGAGTTCACACTGGAGAAAGGCCTTATGATTGCAGTGACTGTGGGAAACCTTTTACCACTATCGTTGGCCTTCGTAATCATCACAGAATTCGCACAGGAGAAAGGCCTTATGAGTGCAGTCATTGTGGGAAATTTTTTACCAGTATCTATCACCTTCGTTGTCATCAGAGAGTTCACACTGGAGAAAGGCCTTATAAATGCATTGAATGTGGGAAAGCTTTTACCAGTAGCACTGGCCTCCGTTATCATCAGAGATTTCACACAGGAGAAAGGCCTTATAAATGCATTGAATGTGGGAAAGCTTTTACCTGTAGCAGTGGCCTCCGTTCTCATCAGAGAGTTCACACAGGAGAAAGGCCTTATGCATGCAATGAATGTGGGAGAGCTTTTGCTTGTAGCAGTGGCCTTCGTTATCATCAGAGAGTTCACGCTGGAGAAAGGCCTTTCAAGTGCAGTGAATGTGGGAAATCTTTTACCACTAGCAGTGGCCTCCATAATCATCAGAGTGTTCACACTGGAGAAAGGCCTTATAAGTGCAGTGAATGTGGGAAATCTTTTACCAGAATCAGTTCCCTTCGTTTTCATCAGATAGTTCACACTGGAGAAAAGCCTTATGAGTGCAGTCAATGTGGGAAATGTTTTACCAGAATCAGTTCCCTTCTTTATCATCACAGAGTTCACACTGGAGAAAAGCCTTATGCGTGCCCTGAATGTGGAAAATCTTTTACCGGCCGCACTGGCCTCCGTTATCATCAGAGATTTCACACTGGAGAAAAGCCTTATGAGTGCAATAAATGTGGGAAATGTTTTACCAGTAGAGAGGGCCTTCTACATCATCAGAGAGCTTACACTGGAGAAAGGCCTTTTGAGTGCCGTGAATGCAAGAAATCTTTTACCAGTAGCAATGGCCTTGTATGTCATCTGAGAGTTCACACTGGGGAAAGACCTTATGAGTGCTGTGAATGTGGGAAATCTTTTTCTAGGATCCATAGCCTTCATTATCATCAGAGAGTACACAAGACAAAGGACTTAGGAGTGTAGTTAATGTGGAAAATCTTTTAGCCAAACTTTTAACCTCCCTCCACAAGAGTTTGCGTGGGAAGGAGGTCTCAGATTTGTAGGAAATATTCAGTATTTAAGTTGTCTTTTTTTTTTTTTATGCTGCCACAGTGTGTGATATATGTAATATTTGTGGTAGTGTTTTTTTTAATATGTTTTTATTGATTTCAGACAGTGAAAGGGTGAAGCAGAGAGAGAAACATCGATCATCTGCCTCCTGCATACCCTATATGGGGGATCAAGCCTGCAACTGTGATCTCCAGGTTTATGGGTCAACACTCAACCACTTAGCCACACCGGCTGAGCTTAGTTCAGTCTTAACAATACTTTAGTAAACACTGAGGCCTCGTTTGTCTGAATTTAATCTCGTACATCCAAATATCACTAAGGGGCTTCCCCATAAGTTTATTTTATGTGGGAAGCATATTTGTCTATGTTGAATTTTCTGATTTACCCAGGTGTCTTACTAGATCTTTGTTATTGCATATTTTTGTTACATAAGCTATTTCACATGTACCACCTATAAGCTATCCAGATTGCATCAGTTACCATCCCATTGTGCTCAGAGAAGCTGGCTCTGTTCTCTGATTATTTGGAGAAAATTAGTAGCCTGTATTTTTAAGAGGTCTTTATTTCTTTTGCTCTAAGTAATTGGCCCATGGATCTGACTCTGTATTGTCCCCAGAGAACATCACCTGAGCTTAGCTAGCAGCTTGCAGAATACCTCCCTTTTTCAGAGACATGCTTTCCCTAGATGCCAGTGATGAAAATTTGAGTGTCCAAGTCACTCATGCAAGAACTGCCAGGCTCTTGACCATTAGGTTACTAAAATAATTCAGGACTTTTTTCTAAGTCATCTTTAATCTTGGGTGTTCTATTTACTATGTTGGCTAGTTGATAAGGAGATCTGGGCTCTAAAAGCAGGAAGAGGTCAACAACTTTTGTGGGATCTCAAAGGTTCTCTGTCTCCTAGGAGATATGGTGCAGAAATTAGCTCAGCAGTTTTTGCCAAATTCCAATTGCTCCTATTTCTGTAGGAAAGACTATGGAGTCTGTAGTCCTCATGTGAAGCCTGTATGCTGTGAGACACAGATCACTCCAAAGAGGGAGTAGGTATGACTACTTCAAGTACGTTTGGGAGCAGCATGAAATTTTCGTGTGTATACAAAGGATGCAGTACTTTTGAAAGGAAGAGGATCTCTTGCGCAGGTCTTGCAAAGGGCCATGTACCCTAATTTCTGCAATTCCATGGGTTGTGGTCACTGGTTGTAGGACCACAGGGGTTAGGGGAAAGCATGACTGCAACAGAAACACTGGCCTAATACTTGCCGGAGGAGACTGAAGCCCACTAGATAAAATGTGCCTCGTCTCAGTGTGCACCCAGATATGTTTCTGAGAAGAAGACTGCAGGATCTGTGTGTACACTAATCAGAGTATCTCCAGGTTTGTTTATCTTCTGAGGATGTAGTCATTGTCATTGAATATAATCAAAAGGATTTATGGCCCTGATGGATTTAATCAAAAGGATTTATGGCTACTGATGCCCAGTAGCTCAGGGCATCATGTTGGTACACCAAGGTTGCAGGTTCAATCTGAAGTTGAGGCACATACAAGAATCAACCAGTGAATGTACAACTAAGTGGAACAAGTCAATGTTTCTCTCCCTCCCCCTCGCTTTCAATTTAATAAATAACAATTTTGAAAGGTTTTGTGGGTTCCTGTAGCCTCTCAAAGGTTCAAGTCAGAGCCATTGGTGTCCTGGCAGAATAAGAAAAACAAAAGAGTGCAGCCAGGGATGTGGTTTTTGTGTCCCAGCCAGCATTCCTGTTGGTTTGGGTAAACATCCTTCATTGTTACCAAACCTATTTTTAAAACTTATTTTTTGTTAATCCTCACGTGAGGATATCCATTGATTTTTAGAGGGAGTGGGGGAGAGAGAGAGAAACATCTATTGGCTGCCTTCTGCACATCCCCTACCAGGGATCAAGCTCAAAACCGGGGCATGTGCCCTGACCTGGGAATCAAATCAGCAATTTCTAAATTTTGTATGATCAGAATAACAGTTTCTCTGCTTTCATTTACACTGCATAAGTATTTGGAGGTTTATTCATGATATGTTTGTAGCTTTTTTTTTTTTTTTTTTTTTTTGGCCTGCAAATATTCTTGTCTTTGAATATATCACCATTATTTTACTTATTCAATTTAGTCACTTCTAACTTTTGATTATTTAAAGTTGGTGCATAATTTTCTATATGGACATAATGTTCATTTACCTTTGTTAATACCTCAGTGCATAGTCTGAGTCATTGGGTAGGTGCAAGCTAAATTTAGAGAGATTAGCAAATTATGATCTAAACTACTTTTTTGCATTTTTCCAGCAGTGTATGAGGGATTCAGTTCCTCCGCATCCTAGAGAAGTTTTGGGTTCGTCAGTCATTCTTTCTTTAAACTTTTATAATGTTGTCATGCTACCTCACTGTTGTTTGATTGTAGTTTTCTTTTTTTTTCTTTTTTTAAAATATGTCTTTATTATTGATTTCAGACAGAGGAAAGAAGAGGGGGAGAGAGAGGTAGAAACATCAATGATGAGAGAGTCATTGATCGAGCCCACAACCTGGGCATGTGCCCTGACCGGAAATCGAACCCTGATCACCTGGATCCCAGGTCGATGCTCAACCGCTGAGCCACGCCCGGCCGGGCATTTAATTGTATTTTTCTAAGGATTTATGGAGAGCCTTTTCTCAGATGTGTATTTGCTATCTCTGTGTCTTTGTTAAAACATCTGATCATATGTTCTGCCTAATCTGCTGTTTTTGGCAATTTAACAAAAAGACAGTGAAAGAACAGAGATGGGTGTTAGAATTTCACTCATTTGGTGCTTTTTTGCTTTGGAATAAAGGTTTTTTGTATTGGAAAAATATGTTCTAATTTCCTTACAATATTTTGTGCTATGCATAATGTAATGGACACTTCATTTTAATATGCACTATTAACATTCTCCTTTACTTACAGAAGTCCAATCATTTGATAATACAGTAAGCTCTTGCTTTGTAGTGTTCTCTCATTTTCCTGGTCTCCTATCATGAGAGTTCTTGTGTTGGAACAGGGAGACCAGGTGGCATCAGTATGGACAGGGTTATTTGGAGTCCCAAAGCCAGTCTAGAGCAGAATAGGATGGCAGTGTGCAGACTCCCCATGCCCTGTGACAGGCACCCTGGGTTTGAATTTCAGATTCTCAAATAGCATTGGGACTTGCAATGAAATAACCCCTTCCTCTGGTGTAGGCTTCAGTTTTCTCCTGCATAAAACAAATATAAGGCATGTCTCCATACCTGATCTGTTAGAGGAGGTCAAGAGCTGAAGTGTCCATTTGCAGTAAGGCAGCTGTGCGTGAAGCCTGCCTTGGCTCCAGCAACTCCAGCCTCTGCCTGCAGAGACATTTTGGACCAGGCACTTCTCACTCCATTGCCTACAAGCACCTTGGGTTTTGGGTCCCTTTGAGAAAGAAATGGGGCTTTTATCAACCTACTGACCCGCCTGCAGGGAGGCAGGTACTGTGGGCACTGAAGTCTCACTGGGGTCTCTACCCAAGAAGTCCCAGGTGACTCCTAGAACCTGCATCTCAGTTGGCTGAATGTGACTTGCAGGTGATGGTGCTTACATTGGCCTTTCAAGATCAATTAAATTAACATACTGGATACTGTTGCCAGGATTCCAGCATTACCTTTTGAGCATTTTCTCTCTTAATTCTTACAACCACCTTGGAAGTGGAAACTAGTAACAAATTCCTGGAAACATCCAGGATTACTGAAGTGAAGTAGGTTCTCCAAGTTTACTGAACAGACAAGTCAGATTCAAGAGCTGCATTTTAACCCATGGTTCTGGCCCCAGAGCCAGAAACAATCTCTACCCCTGCTTGTGAAGCCCACTGGGGCAAGTACAGTGAGGACCAGGGAGGCTCAGCTGAAAATGTTCTCATTTGTGCAATTATGAATTCTCCCCCATTTTCCCTGAAACATCAAAGCACTTATCCGCAGACACCCAGTGTTCAGGGGAAAGCTGTAATTTGTCAGATCCAGCAGTTTCTCCAGTGGAACCTTTGAGACTTAGCTACAATTTGTATGCCTCCCCTTTGATCCCTGCACAGAGTGACCCTCGGGAGACCTCTGTAATTTGGGCTGAGTCTCTGCACCTTCACCCAGGTTTGGGGTGGCAGGCAGTGATCTCATCTACTGTGGCGAACTTGATGCCTCAGTTTGACTCTTTAGGAGATGTTCATAATTGGCACTGACATTCACCCTGCAGGCGAGGGGACAACTGGATGTGAATTCTGGACATAATATTCAAAAGCAGTGCTGGAGACCTACCGGATCCTGGTCTCAGTGGCGAATGCTCACCTCTTTCCCATGCAAAGGACCTGCTGCCCATGTGATTCTGTCTATATCCCTACTGGTTGTATGAAACACTGGCCCCCCCACAGTCTCCCTGAAGCACTGGCCATGTTATGGACCTTCGTTTTCCTTTCCAGACTCCTGTGTCTGCATCATGGACTTTTGGGTTGGAACACAAGCTATCACCACAGTGCACAGCACACAGGGCCACAACCCAGATCCTTACTCTAGATTCCAGTTAGCAGGGAGATACAAGTACGCTCTCCAAGTATCAGGACTGTTGCAGGCACCTTTCAAACTCTACTCATTGGATTCTACATTGTTTTTCTTTAGCTTTGAGATTTTTTAGGTGCCTGATTCTCGCTATTTGCATTTTACATTGTTTTATTAGCATGTTTTTGAAGAGTGTTCCCTTTTACTAAATGCAGCAGAAAGAGTTAACACCCACGTTCATCAAAGTCATGTTAGTAAAATACTACAGATACCATTTGTAACTCATGGTAAAAAATGAATATCCAACATTTGCTATAAAGACACTAAAATTCACTCAAACACTTGATAAAACAGTCTTCGTACTCTTAAGTTCATGGGGAGCCAAGCTTTTAGAGTGAAAATCAGAAGGCCCACTGTGTTCCCACAGTGATGAGAGCAAGACTACTTTAGACAGGTGTAGAGGAAACACGGAGGGGAGATGATAGGCAGCCCTAAAGCAGGTGGGTGTGGTTGCACCATGCGTTTTAGTTCCTCAGAATATATCCCATCTGGCTCTCTGTCGATATTTGTGTTCCAACCCCAGAAAATATTTGTTCTCTTCAACATTTCTTAATGTATTTTTAAGATATCGCTTATTTTTTCTAAGGATATAACATGTATCTGGGAATGTGGTTACATAGTAAATTTACATTTGCTACCAGGATGGCTACAATACTGGCTTCCATGAAGGTGTTGAAAGTGGGCACCTGGTTGATTATGTAATCTCAGGATGTGATAAATCCTATGAAGAAAACTAGTGCATAGTAATGGATAGTAATTTGTTGTAAGATATAGATATGTCTTGAGTAATGTATAGGTTGTAATTGGTGGTAGTGGTGGGTGGGGTTCTTGCCCCTTTTAGTACTTTCTAAATATAATTTGAACCAAGACTTAGGTACTGAGTGGTGTCACCCGTCCTAATATTTGTATCAAGAGAACATTCCAGGGCTGTTTCTTTTCCTTTTTTAATGTTTAATTTTTTAAAATCTTGTTAATTACAGCTGATATACAGCATTATATTAATTTCAGACGTACGATGTAGTGATTAGGCATGTATATAACTAACAACGATCATGAGGTAAGTCCAGAACAGAGCTGCTTATAATCATTGTCTGACAGGCTTCCTGCCTCAGAAACTTAAAGGAATGAAAATTCCCAAGTGGCATCTCACACGCCCCGAACCAGAAGCACCTGTTCTGGGCTGGGGTCCAGGCCTAGGGGTTATGCCCCGAATCCCGCGTTACGGCCCCGCCGCCACCCTGACACTACCCTGCAAGGGGATGGACTCAGGGGCCCTGGCCGTGGATTTCCGACTTCCACTTCCGTCGCTTGACCGGCCTTTTCCCGAGTCCCCGCCCCCAGTGAAAACAGGATCCTCCCACACGCTCTCTCCTAGTTGGTAACGGCCAGCCTCACACTACCCGTTTCTGGAAATCTTTTTATTCCTAAAATAAAAACCAACGCTTCAGGCCACTTACTATCCCGCCAGAGCTATGGGGGGTGTCCGTCTGCCAGATACTTTGGCCCTTTCTAGCTGTGCCTGTCCGTCCGAGTTCCGCGGCGATAGTGCTTCTCTGCCCAGCCGGCTGAGAGCAACTTAGGTCGCACTGTGTGTGCACCGCGAAGCTCTGAAAGTTTACCTATTTTTGGTATGAGTCGAAGTGCCGGAAACCGAGGAGATTTCAATAGCTTCTCCCCTCCCCTCCCGCCAGCCCCGGCTGCTGGCCCCAAAGCCCGGCTCTGCCGTCCGTACGGCGGTCACGTGTCCCAACATGGCGGCCCCCATGCCCACGCCGCGAGACGGGCGCGGACATATTGCCGCCAAACACCGGAAATCCTCGGCGTTTCTTCCCACGCCTGAGATCCTCCTCGGCCACTGTAGAGGGAGCAGGACCTGTGCAGAACTTGAAGCGGTTCGCGGAAATACCACTTCTGCGCCCGACTGGTGGGTGTGGGGAAAACTCAGGTGAGTGTGTGGTCTTGTCCCCAGAAGTTTCTTCGGCCCAGTAAAAGTTTTGTTTCTCTCGGTGACGAGTGGGCGTGCTGGTGTGCGGAGCGTGGGACGGTCCCGGGGCCGCAGGGGGGGCAGCCGCGCCCGGGCGGAGCTAGTTAATGGGACCTGCTGGAAGCCGGACTAGAGGCACTGAGGGGAACGGGGCGCGCGTGTGCGAGGTCGCGGGGGCCCGGCGCCCGGGGCGCAGCTGAGGCGTCTGTGGAGGTGACGCCCTTGTCCCGACTGTCCGGGTGCGGGGTCCTGCGGGTCACCCCACTTGCAGGGGGCGCGCGTGGCATTTAAGGTGACCGCGGCGTGGGGTTCAGGGCGGGGGTGTAACAGGCGGCGAGTGGCGCGGGGCCGGCGGGGTCGCGGGGCGCCCGCCCGGGTTTCCCGTGAACCAGGAGGTGTGACCGGGGTCCGGTCCCGGAGGATCGTGGGGGCGGAGTTGGGGCGCCCGGGGCTCGGTGAAGGCCGAGGCCTCGGCGGCGTCTGGACGGAGGCAGCGGGGCCCAGGGCGCTCGTTCCAGCCCCTCCGTTTTCAACTGTCACCCAGCAGCTCTCCACCCACGGAGCCGGGACTAGACCAGCAGCGCCCGTTGTCACGTGTCCTCTGTGGCACCCTTGTCGCTGCGAAGGCAGAATTGGGTCGTTGTGACAGAGACGGTTTGGTCTGCAGACGGGAACATGTCCATCTGTCTCTTCCAGAAAATGTTTGCCAGCGCCTGCTCTCAGCTCTTAGTATGTAGGTAGCAGGGACATATTGCTTATTTGCCCGACATACGTTCATAGGTATTTCTTTGCGGAGGGAATCGCCTTTTTACTTAATATCCATCCCTCTGCAGGGTGACCCGAATCCCAGGGTATTAGGAAGCCCTGGCCCGTCTTAGTCAACCGTGCTGGTTCCAGCTCCCATCGCTACTGATTGAGCTTCTATGGAATGAGCGTAGGTACATGGTGCAGTTCTAACCAGCTGTATATGTGAACATCTAGTAGTCGGTTCTGGGAGAGAATATTCTTTTTTAAATACATAATTCCTTGAGTTTGAAGGGGAGCAGCTTGCCACCCTAAAATATGTCTCTTTGGGACACTGGTCATTTTAGGCAGGTCAGTTTGAAGAAACTGCAGCCCTGGGAGAAAACCTAGTGGAAGTTACCCATTGTGAAGAACATTTACATTTGTATGGGCAGGTTCATCTGTAAGGGTGTCTCTGTCACTATACCATACCTACCTTAAGTCAGTGGAGGAAGCAAGACTTATATGTGCACAATAACCTTACCCATGTTTACTGTGCTTTTCCTGGTAACCTCTCATAACTTACTTTTCAGCCCCCACATGGTTTGCTTTGGCTGAAGGTCGTATTTCAAGTGATGTCTTCTGCCAGTTTGGCCCATTACTCCATTTTCCTGGGTTGCTTCTATGTATACAGGAGGTATACATAGTATTAACCTTTTTTTATTGTTTTCCCGTTATTCTGTGTTATATCAATTTAATTATTAGGCCAGCCAAAGTACCTAGAAAAGAAGAAAAAATTATTTTGCCCCTACAATATCATTCCCCTCATCTTTTTTCACAGTCACTGCACAAAACTCCAGAGAATAAAGGAACTCCTCCAGCACATTTAGAACCTAAATATTTAATGGCCTGAACTGTAATTACTTCCAGGAGACCAAATAAAAGAATACCATATATACTGTGGACACCGTGATTAGGAGCAAGTTAGCAATGGATACTAGAAGAAATGTAGCACTCATTGAATTTTCTCCTAATCTACAGGTTGTAACTCCCCGTGTGGACCTAAAAGGAACCACATACTAAACCTGACAGGCTCAGGGGAGGCCTGCATGGTAGGCCTTACAAACTCAGCACCAGAAAACCACATTGAATATTCTGAAATTAAATTCTACTAACTGAAGGTGAGTCTAGGGAGGTAGTCGTGTCCTAGACTAGTCTCTTCCTTGACAAAGGTCCTTCTTTAACTTAACTGACCCTGTCAATTGTCTTTTTGTATCTAGGATGACATGACTTTGAAATGTTGGGGTAATTTCTTTTTTTTCCAGACTCCTCAGGGCACAATCTCCCACCAGAGCAAGAGGCCACAGAGTCCCCTCAGTGTTGTTGTTATCATGTTAATTGTTAAGTTTAATTATCCTATTTCCACTGCTGGAGAAGTCTGTGTCTATTTGTTTTACTTTTAATCCAGTCCCAGAGATGTCCCCACTTTGCTTTCTTCCCCTTCCCTAATCTATCACCAGGGGATTTTATGTAACCCTTTTGTGTCTTCTTTGATTCTAATGTATAAAATTAGGTGTAAAATTGCCATTCTCTAAAGCATTTTCTTAATTCATTGTTATTTTGCTTTCAGGCACTCATCAGTTTGGCTCAAATAAACTCATAAAAATTCTCTACAGGTTTGGACTTATCTTATGATGACACCAGGAACCAGTGAATCATGTGAAGCAGGAGAAGCTGCAGGGTTGAGTATCAGCATTTCCGGGGACACATCTGACTGAAGAGAGATTTCTGAACAGAAATTTAGAGCAGTCCCAGAGCACACAAGACAGAGCCTCCCTGATCCCACCTTTTTTTCAGAGAACAAAAGAAAATGCCGCAGGCTCAGGTGATTGGCTCTATTTTATCGTTTACTTTCTTCAGTATTGGATTTGTAAATGCCTATAAAGGACCACCTTCGTGAATCTGGAAAGTATACGTGTATATTTGTTTTCTCTCTCAAATACATGAATTTGAATATTTGAAAGGTGTTTTTCAGTTAAAAAGAACATTTAACTTTTTCCCATCATATTAACATCTAATTGGATGAATGCATGGATGACTGAATGTACAATTACAGGTAGTATTTTACTAGGCATGTGATTATTTAAATATAGGCATGTGATTATTTAAAATAGCCCGGCTGGCCTGGCTTAGCGGTTGAGCATTGACCTAGGATCCAGGGGATCAAGGTTCAATTCCCTGTCAGGGCACATGCCTGGGTTGTGGGCTTCATCCCCAGCAGGGGACATGCAAGAGGCAGGCAATCAATGACTCTCATCATTGATGTTTCTATCTCTCTCTCCCTCTCTCTGATATCAGTAAAGATATTTTTAAACAATAAATAATAAATAAAACCTCACTTGCTATATAGATGCTGCCTATAAAGTGAAAATGAGTAGATAAACTAACATTTCTTTCATATTACTTAAAGGACATCACATCATTAAACAACATGGAGTTGTTGCAGGAACCCCTGACGTTTCACGATGTGGCTGTGGACTTCACCTGGGGGGAATGGCAGCTCCTGGACTCGGAGCAGAAGAACCTGTACAGGGACGTGATGTTGGAGAACTACAGCAACCTGGTGTCAGTGGGTGAGGACAGCTCCCCTGTGTCACTCAGACATTGCCCTGTTAGTGACCTTTCCTTTATAAGCTACTTAACTCTTCAGAATAACTACAGTTCTTTGAAGTGGTAGAATCTCAGATCCTTCTCTTGCCTGAGACAAGAGAGTATAATGTTCTCTCTCCTGATAGAAAAGTCATTGTGTTACAGATGTGAAACCTGTTCACTGTCCCTTGACTGATCCCAGCCCAATTCAGTATGTATGTAAATCTTCTGTCATGTTTCTCGAGCAGGGTATCAAGCCAGCAAACCAGATGCGCTCTCCAAGTTGGAACGAGGACTAGAACCATGGAAAGTACAGGATGAGCTCCCCAATTTAATCTGTCAAGGTGAGTGGGTGAGAACCAGCAAGATGGGCGGCCAGGAAGTCAAATTCTAGTCAGAGAAGGCGTCAGCTGTGGCAGTGAATGAGGAGACTCACAGCACCCCTTCATGTACATGAACCCTATTTCTTTGTAGAAGTTTAGAGGATAGTATACCCTTGTGTTTTCTGAGCTCTGACCCTGTTTGTTTTATCTACATCTTGATTTTGTTTGTGTAGTTTTCTTTGCCCTAGAATCCTCAGATTTTTCTTTTTCCCCTATCACAGTTTCTGGGCCTGTGTTATCACCTCTCTTGCTATGAAATTCCCCTTTTCAGGTCTCTCTGTAAAGACAGAACTTTGAATTCATCACTTTTACTACTGGGCCTCCCTGTCTTGTTAGGAAATAGTGATTTTCCTCCATAACATCGAACCCCACTTTGGATGCTGTTTTCCCATGATAACCTGGTTTTCATGGCACATTTATGGTGTTTCCCCCCCATCTCCAAAAGGTTCTTTATACTCAGTTCTTATCAGTCTTAAAATTTTCCTCAATTCCTATGAGTTAACCTCTTTCTGGTCTGTAAAATGGACTCACAAATTGACTTCTCTCTCGATATTGTGTAACATACACTTTCTTCCTGTATATCTTACTCATGGTCAAGGCAGCTTCTTATTTTGTGTGTGAGAGCAGGAAACATCTTCCCTTTATTCTTTTTAAATTTAGTTTCTCTTTCCACACTGGACGTTTTAAATTCTGTCCATCCTGGCACCACCTGGGATGTTCCCCAAATGCTGAGCTCTCTTCTTAAAGGTCTCTACTCTTTCATTTGATGAACCAGAAAAGATCTTAAAAAAGTTCTACATGAGTCTGAATCTAAATTACATCATATCTTATATCTGCTTCAAATAACTTCCTAGTTTTCCTAATTCAGATTTTTGTTTATTCTAAGATATTGCTGCATTCATTCATTCATTCATTCATCCATTTCTTTTTTAAAAATTTTATTATTGAGAGAGATTGATTTGTTGTTCTACCTATTCATGCATTTATTGGTTGATTTTCATAAGTGACCTGAGTAGGAAAGTGCAACCTTCACATATCGGGATGATGCTTCAAAGAAGTGAGCTATTTAGCCATGGCTGCATTCATTTCCTTAAAGCTTTGTTTTCACATCATAGTTCTAATGGTGTTACTTAGATTTAATTCACGTTCCATACAATTTATATTATATAATTCACTGGTTTATAGTATATTGCTATAGTTGTGCAACAACCATCACCACAATCAATTTCAGAACATTTTATATTTACACATTCTTTTTTGTTTTTAAATATATTTATTGATTTTTTGAGAGAAGAAAGGGGGCAAAGAGAGAGAGAAAAACATCAAATTGCCTCCTGCATGTGCCTCAACCAGGACTCAAACCAGTGACCCTTTGATGTGAGGGCCAGAGCTCCACTCAACTGAGCCACACTGGCCAGGATTATTTACATATTCCTATAGGGGCCTTGATTCTTACAGCTTTTTACCAAGTTTCAAAATTGGAAGGAGTGAATTATCCAACTTTGTTCTTTTTCAAGATGATTTTGATTTTTGGCACCTTCAATTTTCATATGTATTTTAGAATCAGCTTGTGAATTTCTGCAAAAAAATGCAGCTAGGATCTTGGTAGGGATTACATGGAATCTTTATCTCGATTGGGTAGTAATTCCATCTTAACCATATTAAACATCCTGATCCATGATCATTGGGTATTTTTCTATCTAATTCGGTCTTTACTTTCTTCCAACCATGTATTATAAGTTTCAGAATAAAAGTTTTACAGTTTCCTTTCTTAAATTTATTCCTAAGTATGATATTCTCTTTTATTATTTAGTAAATGTTATTTCCTTGATTGTATTTTCAGATTATTCATTGCTAGGATATAAAAATAAAGTTGATTACTTTGTCATATCTTTTTTTTTTTTAATCCTCACCTGAGAATATTTTTTCCATTGTTTTTCAGAGAGAGTAGAAGGGGGAGAGAGAGAAAATATCAATGTGTCACATCGATTGGTTGCCTCCTGCACAAGCCCCAACCAAGGCCAGGGATTGATTCTGAAACCAAGATATGTACCCTTGAGTCCACAGGCCAGTGCTCTAACCACTGAACCATACCGGCCAGGGTACTTTCCCATCATATTCTGATGACGCTTGCTCCCAGGTAACCAAGTTTCCTGTCATATGGAACTGCAGTTTCTCTCTCAGTGATTTCTGTGATATGCTATCATCTAGCTTAGAAAGCTTCTGTCATCTTCTTAAATGCTCCTTAATGAGTTCTGTACCTGTGATTGCCTCCTCCAATTGATGTGCTTGCTATATATTTTTTAAAAATATATCTTTATTAACTGCAGAGAGGGAGGGAGAGAGTTGAAACATCAGTGATGAGAGAATGGTCATTGATCAGTTTCCTTCTGCATGACCCCGACTGGGGATCCAGCCCCTAGCCTGGGCATGTGCCCTGGCTGGGAATTGAACCACGATCTCCTGGATCCTAGGTCGATGCTCAACCACTGAGCCATCCCTTGCTGGGCTAAAAGTTGCATTTTGGTAACCTAATATTTTGAAGTTAACAGCAGTACAAAAAAAGTTTTTAAAAAAAGTATCTTGTCTCTACTCTGCACATTACTTTCATTCTCAGTAGAAGTCCTATATAATCAATAATAAACATATCTTAGGGTAAATATTCCTGTAAGGAAAATTAAAGCCGCCAGTGGAACAGTGGGTGTTGATCCCAGAACTGTGCTTTTAGGAGTGGGAATGGCTCTTTGATATGGTTCCTTTGAGAACATAGATGAGGGATATGAGTTCCCTAGAATATTTGAAATGTGAGACCGTGGGAAGTTCAAAGAGCTGAATCTGGAATGTGTTTGAGGAACTTCCAGGAAGTTTGGATAGTGAAATGAGCAGGAGAGAAAATTACTGCAGATAAGTACAATGTGGTGGCAGCTGGAAATCCTGAGACATAGATCACATATTCCCTCTTTAGGCCATTTAAGACCTTGCTTTCATGCCATTAAATTTGAGAAACCGGTAGAAGCTTTTGAGTAGAAGTGGCTTTATGTAACTAATTTGTAACCGGAGGCAAGTGATCAATGTTTATCTCTCACATTGATATTTCTCTGTCTGTGTCTCTCTCTTGCTCTCTCTCTCTTCCTCTCTAAAAAAAATTCAATAGCCCTAACCAGGTGGCTCAGTTGGTTGGACCGTCATCCCATACACCAAAAAGGTGGTGGGTTTGATTCCTGGTCAGTACACATACCTTGGTTGTGGGTTCAGTCCCAGGTCCGGGTACATATGGGAGGCAACCAATCGCTGTTTCTCACCCCCTTTGATGTTTCTCTCCCTCTCTTTCTCTCCTCTCTTTCTCTAAAATCAATAAATATATCCTTGGGCGAGGATCTAAAAAAAATTGTTTTTAAATCAATAAATGTATTTAAAAAACAAATACTGCACATGAAAGCATTTTGTAAAAACAGTTTTATTTCAAGAAAAATTATGAGATTACAGAATGATTTACTATTCTCTCATCTTTTCTAGAATTCAAGAGAGTTGGTGATCCTCTAAATTGTCACTTGCAAAGTCGAAGAATTCAGAAGAATGTGGGAAAATGCTGTGAACATATTTTGTTTGCAAATATTGTTTATCAGAGCGAAGTTCATTTCCTATTAAAGCAAAATCATGATATGTTTGAGATACATGAAAAACCTTTAAAACTGAATTTAAATTTTGAAAACCAAAATAGAAGTTGTAACTTATCTAACTCTGATGAGTTGAATGGAGATGGGACATGCATTCTGCATGCTAACAATAAACAAACTGAAATTAAACTTCCTGTCAATAAGCAAAACATCAATTCCTCGGTTAATAAGCAACAGAGAACTCACAACATAGAGAAAGCCCACATATGCCTTGAATGTGGGAAAGCCTTCATCAAGATGTCTCAGCTCACTGATCATTGGAGAGTTCATACTAGGGAGAAACGTTATGGATGCAGTCTTTGTGGAAAAGCCTTCACCAGAAAATCCAAGCTCACTAAACATCAGAGAATTCATACAAGACTGAAACAATATGAATGCACTGAATGTGAAAAAACCTTCCTCAAGAAATCACAGTTCAATATACATAAGAAAACTCACATGGGAGAGAAGCCGTATACATGTAGTGAATGCGGGAAAGTTTTCATAAAAAAGTGGCAGCTCATTTATCATCAGCAAACTCATACAGGAGAAAAACCCCATGGATGCAGTCTGTGTGGGAAGACCTTCTCTACAAAGTCTTATCTCACTAAACATCAGAAAACACATACAGGAGAGAAACCTTATATATGCAGTGAATGTGGAAAAGGCTTCATTGTGAAGTGTCGTCTGATTGCACATCATCGAACTCATACTGGAGAGAAACCATTTATATGCAAAGAATGTGGGAAAGGTTTCACTTTGATGAACAGTCTTACCACGCATGAGCGAACTCATACAGGAGAGAAACCCTATATATGTAATGAGTGTGGAAAAGGCTTCACCAGGAAGAGTCTTCTCATCAAACACCAGCGAACACATACAGGCGAGAAACAGTATGTATGTAGTGTATGTGGAAAAGGCTTCACCATGAAGAGTAATCTCACTGTACATCAGCGAACTCATACTTTAGAGAAACCGTTTATTTGCAATGAATGTGGGAAAGGCTTCACTGGGAAGAGTTATCTGATTGTACATCAACGAACTCACACAGGAGAGAAACCGTATGTATGCAGTGAATGTGGAAAAGGCTTCCCAGGAAAAATGCAGCTCATTTTACATCAACGGACTCATACAGGAGAGAGACCTTATATATGTAGTGAATGTGGGAAAGGTTTCAAAGCACACAGTCATCTCATCAGACATCTGCGAACACATACAAGAGAAAAACCCTTTGTGTGTAGTGTGTGTGGCAAAGGCTTCACTATGAAGACTAATCTCACTGTACATCAGCTAAGCCATACTTCAGAGAAACCTTATATATGCAATGAATGTGGGAAAGGCTTTGCTGTAAAGAGTCGTCTGATTGTACATCAGGGAATACACACAGGAGAGAAGCCCTATTTGTGCAGTGTATGTGGAAAAGGTTTCCCAGCAAAGAGCAAGCTGATTGCACATCAACGGATTCATACAGGAGAGAAACCTTACATATGCAATGAATGTGGGAAAGGCTTCACAGAGAAATTTAACCTAATTAGACATCAGCGAAAACATACAGGAGAGAAACCCTTTGTAGTATATGTGGAAAAGGCTTCATGAACAGTCATCTCAGTGTACATCAGCACATTCATACAAGAGAGAAGCACACCTATGCAAGAAAAGTGGTATAAGCTAAATTGGGAAAAGTCATGCTCATTGCCCATTTGTGACTTCATATGTATAAAAACCATATATATATGCAATGAATGTGGAAAAGGCTTCACCATGAACAGAGCTCAAAGAATACATTAGCAAACTCATACTGGAGAAAAGCCATACAAATGACATAAATGGGGTGAAGGCTTTAGAAAAATGACATGCCTCCTCAACATCAGAGATTTCACTCAGGAAACATCTCTTTTTCTTGCACAGATTGTGGAAAATTCTCATTGAGCAAAAATGATCTCATTACCCATCAGAAAATTCACACAGGAGAGAAACCCTATAAGTGTAAAGAATTTCGGAATGTAGTCACTACAAATTCAGGATTCAATGTTAATGAAAGAAAACATACAGGAGAGAAGCCAGACGGGTGCAGCAGTTGTAGGAAAGCTTTTGTCCACTTGTCAGTCCTTGTTAAACATAAGAGAATTTATAGATACTTGCTTTGGGAAAGCCTGTTGGGAGTTGTAGGCCCTCAAGAAAATTGTATTGCAATGAAGTATGACTTAATGCAAATATTCTGGGACTGTGTTTACTGATCAATTATGTCATGTTTTCTATCAATAAAAACATTTACAAAACAAATGAGATACAAAATATTTTAGTACAATATTATTTGTCTAAAAAGTATTTATTGAAATAAACCCTATGAATGTGACAGATTTGGAAACCCTTTAGTGGGAAGTAAACCCTATGATCATCAGAGATCATGAGTAAATATTTCTAATTGTGGGAAAGCATCTGCCCAAAAAAAAAACCTCAATCTCAATTCACACTAGAAAATAGTTTTGTTTTGCAGAGTATATGGCGTAATTTGCAGTAATTTATGTTCCCTCAGCATTTGCCAGGAAGTCCATGTAGAAATAACTGATGAGCACATTCAATTTAGTGGTCTTTATCAAAACCTCAGATAACAACGAAGGAAGGAAACCTTGAATGAAAAAGCATTCTGTCACAAGTCTAAGCAGATAGTACACTTCACAGGCAGTTGGGGACAGGATATCTTCATGGTATTTCTAGTTGCCTTGCCATTGATTTAAGTTTTAAGTAGTAGCAGTTACTCTCATCATGGATCACATTTTAATATACACAACACGAAAGTGTTCTATGCCTGTTTCATTATGTAATTAACTTGCATTTCTTCAGTTCCATCTTAAAAAATAGGTTAATATACAAAATACCTGATTAGTACTCTTCAAAAAAATTGAGGACATAAAAGGAAAAAGACCAAGAATTAGTCACAGGACAGAAAATGTAGGGAACATGATTTCTAATTGCAGTATTGTATTTTGGGTTGACTCTTGGGACAGAAAAAAAAAATGGTAATGGAAAACTTGTGAAACTTGAGTAGAATCTATAGTTTAGTTGCATATTATACCAATGTTAATGTTTCAATTTGGTAAATGTACCATACTTATATATATAAGATATCCAGATGGTGGAAGTCAAATGAAGGTATATGTGAACTCTTTGTAGTAGTACCTTGTGACTTGTGTAAATATAAAATTTTTCCAAGGTAAAAATTTTATTAAAATAGCTCTTATCTATGTCAATTATATTTCAATAAAGCTGGAGGGGAAAAACAGGTATGGTCTAATTTTAATTTCTCAAACATGTTTCCATACTATAAAATGTGTATATATTTGTAATTAATACTAAGTGGCTGTAATAAAATCATGGGTGAAAGACTAGGGTGGTGACTAGAGTCACATAAAAGGTATGCATTAAGATGGAATATACTTGGTGGTTCTCTCTGGAGCACACTGGTGCCATTCACCACTCCCTTCTTTATCTCTCAAGGCATGTCTCTCTGTTTCTGACTATATGGCTATTCAGAGAAATCTATCATAATTTTTATCATCCCAGAAAGTTACACTAGAGAGCGCTGGTTGACATAATTTTATATTTCCAAGCACAGAAAAATAAAAAATTACATTTATTTGGAAAGTGAATGAAAGCAAAAATGACTAAGATGATTTTGTCACTGAAGGGATGGCAGTTATAAACTACAGTTGTCTCCTGTCCTGGTCAGGGAGCTCGGTTGATTAGAGCATTGTCCCGATATGCCAAGGTTGTGGGTTTGTTTTCCAGTCAGTACACATACAAAAATCAATGTTTTTCTCTCTCTACCTCACTTCTCTCTGAAAAATCTATTTTTAAAAATACAATTGTCTCTTTTATTATATGTGATTAGAGACTTTAACTGAATATAAATTTGGTAGAGCAGGAAAGAAAAAGGATCCTCAGAATAAATAGAATAAAAAGGATGACAACAATTTTAGTCTCAAGGAATGGAGAATATGGGAGATGGGAGGTGGGATCCTTGAGGGATATCCTGGAGAAGAGCCTTTGCATTTGACAGGACTATCACCCTTGAGAGCTGCCACCATTTAAAGATCCAGCTCCACTGTTGCCTGCTGAAGTGAGACATGTACTTCGCCTTCATTTTTCCTTCTCTGTCTTTTGGGACTAGGCCTTTTGATCTCTCGATATCCACTATTCGGAGTACTTTGCCTTAATCTCAACTGTTCCATAGTTTTCCACTTATTCAAGTGATAAACAGTGAGTATTGCTCATCAGAATAGAAATGGAAATTTGCTTTGCCATGTGGTTGGTATTTTAGAATTCAATCTCAAATGCTGGCTTTTTGGTAATTCACTCCTTCAGATATATTTTCAGGCACCACCATTGTGCCAGGCGCTGTATGACCGACTAAAGTTACATCGGTGAATAAAACAGACGAACAGCCTTTATGAACATTACAATCTAGTAAGGAAGACAGTAAATGGGTTATGTACTCTCAGGATGTCATTAAATCCTATGGAGAAAAAGCTTAGTAATATAGTAACTTATAGTAATGGAGGTTGTAATGGGAGGGGGTTATTTCTTCCCTGCCTCCCTAGGCTTTTCTGGATATAATTTCTGGATATAACAAGACTGAGGAACTGAGGAGAGTCACTGATCATAATACTTGTATTGAGAGAACATCCCATGCTTGTTTCTTTTCCTTTTTAATTATTTAATTAAAAATTTTTTTCAGCCCGGCCAGGCATGGCTCAGGTGTTGAGCATTGTCCTAGGACCCAGCAGACATCGGTTCAATTCCGGGTCAGAGCACATGCCGGGGTTGTGGGCTTGATCCCCAGTTGGAGGTGTGCAGGAGGCAGCCGATCAGTGACCACTCTCTCATCATTGATGTTTCTGTGTCTCTCCCCCTTCCTCTCTCTGAAATCAATAAAGATATATCACTATAGTAATGAGGCATGTATATAACTTATGAGTTGATCAAGTAAGTTTAGAATAGGCCTGTTTATAATGATTGTCTGACAGGCTTCCTGCCTCAGAAACCATAAATGAATGCAAATTCCCCCGGGGCACATCTCACACCCCCAAACCAGAAACCCCAGTCCTGGGCTGGGGTCCAGGACTGATGCACACCTCATTTTGACATTCTTTGCCCTAAATCCTGAATTACACCTACATCACCACCCTTACAGTGTACCTTAAAATTGGATGGATTCAGGTTGTGCCCTTGCTGTTGATTCCAGACTTTTACTGGCCTGCCTCTAGTGGCCTGTTTCTGAGTCCCCACCCCCAGTGACAATTTAGGATTCTCCCAGAAGCTTTTTCCTACTTAGGGCCAGCCTCACACTGGACCAATTTCTGAAAATCTGTTTTGTTAGGATTTTAGTTGGTGAAGCAAGGCTGTGAAGATTTACATTTGAGAGAAGTGATGTAGAAAGAAAGTTTATTTCATTTTCCCCACAAAGGGAAAGGGTTAATGTAATGTTAATTATTGCAAGGGCAAGCAACAAAGGGCCAGACTGTTTTTTTAAAGTAGGTATTGTTGCTAGGTGACAAGGAATGGAGGGTTTTGGTTGTCTGAAAGTTTAGTAGATAATAGGAAGGTTGTTTTGAAAAGTTATATTTTGTTTGTTTTTTAGGAGATAGTTTGATAGATGTTTTAGGGAAGTGTTTTATTAGTATTTTTTTAAAGTCTGTAAAATATGTTTAGAGTAAAAGTTATGAAGAGTTTCAAAGAGGCTTGTTTGAAGGGGAGGGAGGAAGGGAATTATTTAGATTCCTTGGAGGGAATTATTCCTGAGTTGTGAGAACAGTAGGGAGGAGAGAGTAGTTTATAGTTTGTCTTGTAGTTTGAACGGAGGGGCTGTTAGAATCAGAGGAGTCAACATTCTTGGGGTTTAATCACCAGGTGTATCTCATAAACTGCGGAAGGCCACAGCCAAGAAACGGAAAGGCCTTTTTCTGTAGTTACATATTTTTTTAAAAAAACACTCTTCTGACAAAGTATATTCTGGTCAGAGCTGTCCGTGGGCATCTGCTTACCGGGGGTATTATCTCGTACTGGCCCCTTCTAGGAGCGCCTGCCCCGCTGCTAAACCGACAGCTGACCTCCTCACTGTTGGTTTGGAAGTTTTTTGTTTTGCGCATAAAGCGGAGAATGTACTCCGAGGTCAGAGTCCTGCTCTGCCCGGCGCTCTGAAAGCACCTTAGGGCGCCGGTGTTTGCATCGGGAAGCCCTGACAATTGACGCATTTTCACAAGCGTGGAAGTGCCAGAAAAGGCGAAAATTTCCCCACCTTTTCATTCCTCCGCTCTCACTGGCGGCTGCTCGCCAAGCCGGGCTCTGCCGGCTGTACGGCGGCACGTGCCCCAACATGGCGGCCCCCACGGAGCCGACGCGACTAGGGCGCGGACATATTGCTAACGCACACCGGAAATTGCCCGCCGCGTTTCCTCACCCGGCTGAGATCCTCCTCGGCCACCGTAGAGGGCGCCGGACCTGGGCAGAAGTTGAAGCGGTTCGCGCACCCACAACGCCGGCGCTCTCCTGGTGGGTGTGGGGAAAACTCAGGTGAGTGTGTGGTCTTGTCCCCAGAAGTTTCTTCGGCCCAGTAAAAGTTTTGTTTCTCTCGGTGACGAGTGGGCGTGCTGGTGTGCGGAGCGTGGGACGGTCCCGGGGCCGCAGGGGGGGCAGCCGCGCCCGGGCGGAGCTAGTTAATGGGACCTGCTGGAAGCCGGACTAGAGGCACTGAGGGGAACGGGGCGCGCGTGTGCGAGGTCGCGGGGGCCCGGCGCCCGGGGCGCAGCTGAGGCGTCTGTGGAGGTGACGCCCTTGTCCCGACTGTCCGGGTGCGGGGTCCTGCGGGTCACCCCACTTGCAGGGGGCGCGCGTGGCATTTAAGGTGACCGCGGCGTGGGGTTCAGGGCGGGGGTGTAACAGGCGGCGAGTGGCGCGGGGCCGGCGGGGTCGCGGGGCGCCCGCCCGGGTTTCCCGTGAACCAGGAGGTGTGACCGGGGTCCGGTCCCGGAGGATCGTGGGGGCGGAGTTGGGGCGCCCGGGGCTCGGTGAAGGCCGAGGCCTCGGCGGCGTCTGGACGGAGGCAGCGGGGCCCAGGGCGCTCGTTCCAGCCCCTCCGTTTTCAACTGTCACCCAGCAGCTCTCCACCCACGGAGCCGGGACTAGACCAGCAGCGCCCGTTGTCACGTGTCCTCTGTGGCACCCTTGTCGCTGCGAAGGCAGAATTGGGTCGTTGTGACAGAGACGGTTTGGTCTGCAGACGGGAACATGTCCATCTGTCTCTTCCAGAAAATGTTTGCCAGCGCCTGCTCTCAGCTCTTAGTATGTAGGTAGCAGGGACATATTGCTTATTTGCCCGACATACGTTCATAGGTATTTCTTTGCGGAGGGAATCGCCTTTTTACTTAATATCCATCCCTCTGCAGGGTGACCCGAATCCCAGGGTATTAGGAAGCCCTGGCCCGTCTTAGTCAACCGTGCTGGTTCCAGCTCCCATCGCTACTGATTGAGCTTCTATGGAATGAGCGTAGGTACATGGTGCAGTTCTAACCAGCTGTATATGTGAACATCTAGTAGTCGGTTCTGGGAGAGAATATTCTTTTTTAAATACATAATTCCTTGAGTTTGAAGGGGAGCAGCTTGCCACCCTAAAATATGTCTCTTTGGGACACTGGTCATTTTAGGCAGGTCAGTTTGAAGAAACTGCAGCCCTGGGAGAAAACCTAGTAGAAGTTCCCGGTTGTGAAGGGCATTTACATTTGTATGGGCAGGTTCAACTGTGAGGGCGGCTCTGACCATACCCAACCGGCCTTCACTGTCAGAGGAGGAAGCAGGACATGTATCTGCGGAACATCCTTACCTTTGATCACTGTCCTTTTTCTGGGAACCTCTCATAGCTGACTTGCCACCCCCAGCATGGTTTCACTTTTGGTGAAAGTCATATTTCAGGTGATGCTGCAACTATTTTGGCCCGTTAATCCAGGTTGCTGGGTTGCTTCAGTGTATACAGGAGGTATACATGTTGTTAAACTTTTTTATTATTTCTCCTTGTTAATCTGTTATATCAATTTAATGATTAGACCAGACAAAGAACCTAGAAGAGATGAAGGAAAATTTGTTCTGCCCCTACAATGTCATTTCTCTCATCTCTTTTCACAGTCAGTCCACTTAAACTCCAGAGAATAAAGGAACAGTTAGCTCCAGCACATTTAAAACATAAGGCTTTGTTGGCCTGAAGAATAAATACTTCTAGGAGACTAAATAAAGGGAGACCAGAGATACTGTGGGCATTGCGATCAGGAGCCCTGGAGCATGGGATCCTGGAGGAAACGTACAGCTCATTGAATTTTCTCACCCCACAGGCTCTGACTCTCCAGGGTGGTCAAAAGGGGGCCGCAGGGAAGGGCCTTCATGCCAACCTTACAAAGAGGCCTAAAGTAACCACATAGGATGATGGTGTAAAATTTAAACTTCCTAGCTAAAAGTCAATTTTTACCATAACTGAACCTCTCTATTGTCTTTTTGCATCTAGAATAACATACCTTTGGAATGTCAAGGTAATTTCCTCTTTTCCAGACCACTCGGCACAATCTCCCACCCAGAGCAAGAGACCACAGAGCCCCTCATTGTTATTGTTTTTGTGGTCATTGTTTGTTTACTGTCCTAAACCCACCTAGTTAAAACAACTCAGTGTGTTGTTTTAAAATGAGTGTCTACTCATTTTACTTTTTATCCAATCGTAGGGATTTTCACAGTTTTCTTTCTCCCAGCTCCCTAATCTATCACCAGTGGATTTCATGTAACCCCCTTATATCTTCTCCTTTGATTCTAATGTGTAAAATAAGGTGCAAAACTGCCAATCTCCAGAGAATTTTCTCAATTCGTTACTATTTTGCTTCTCTGCAATCGTCATCATTTGGCTCAACTAAAATCATAAAATTTCTCTATACACTTGGACCTTTTTTAGGTCGACATTAGTCACAATAGAACCTGTGAAGCGTGAAAAAGTTGCAGGGTTTGTGTATCAGCATTTCTGGGGGCACACTTGCCTGAAGATAGATATTTTATTTTATTTTTGAAGGAAGATTTCTGAACGGAAACTTAGAGCTGACCCAGACACACCAAGACAGAGCCTCTGCATCGCCAGCTCCTTCCAGGGAACAGAAGAAAATGCTCCAGGCTCAGGTGACTTTGGGTTTGCTTTATCCCCTCCTTTCTTCAGTAATGGATTTGTTGAGGCCTATGAAAGACCACATCCATTAATCTGAAAAGTGCATGTGTGTGTGTGTGCGCGCGCTCGCTAGGTGAGCAAGAACATCCAACTTCTTCAGTGCAGACATTTCTAATTGGATGAGTGCGTAGGTGACTGGATGCACCACTACAAAGTAAAGGGTATGGCAAACGCAGGTTTACAGTTCTGAGTATGACAGAGACACCGTTTATCTATGAATTGTTGTATTACTTTCCATATGAACAACAGAAAACCTAATTTTGCCCCACTTTGTATTTTACTAGGCATGTAATTAATTATTCAACTGTGTATAGAAATAAAACCCCACTCGCTGTATAGATGCAGCTTGTAAAGTGAAAATGAGCAGAAAGACTAATATCTCTTACATACGTGGATGAAAAGGGGCCACATACTAAACCTGACAAGCTCAGAGGAGAACTGTGTGGCGACCTTACAAACTCCGGGAGCTAAAGTAGCCACAAAAAATGGTCTGCAATTAAAACTCTAACTAAAAGTGAGTCACGGCGGGTCATCGTGTCCTAGGCTAGGTCGTCCCTGACAAAACCTAGTCTTTACCTTAACTGAGCCTGTTCTCTTTTCGCCTCTGACAGCACACCTTTGGAATGTCAGAGTAATATCCTTTTCCCAGACCCCTCAAAGCACAGGCACCGCACCAGAGGGGACCACAGTTCCCTCGCTGTTGACTTAATTGGTGACTTTAATTATTCTGTACCCGCTTATGTTAAAGAAGTATGCGTCTCATTTTACCCTTTATCCACTCCCAGAGGTACCCCCTTGCTTTCTCCCACCTCCCCAATCTGTCACCAATGGATTTCATGTGACTCACTTATGTGTTTCCTTTTTATTGTAATGTATAAAATAAGGTGCAGACCTGCCATTTTCTAGAGCATTTTCTCAATCCATTGAGATTTTCCTTCCAGGAACTGTTGTCAGTTTGGCTCATATAATCTCACAAAAATTCTTTACAGGTTTGAATGCTTCTTACATTGTTATATATCATCTAAAGGACATTGCCCATGAAACAGCATGTTGTTATTACAGGAATCCTTGACATTTCATGATGTGGCCGTGAACTTCACCTGGGAGGAGTGGCAGCTCCTGGACCCCAATCAAAGGAAACTGTACCAGGACGTGATGTTGGAGAACTACAGCCACCTGGTGTCAGTGGGTGAGGACAGCACCCCTGTGTCACTCAGACACTGCCCCGTTAGTGACTTTTCCTTTATAAGCTGCTTATCTCTTCAGAATTACTACAGTTCTCTGAAATGGTAGAATCTCAGATCGTTCTGTTGCCCCAGACAAGAGAGTATAATGTTCTCTCTCCTGAGAAAAAATGCTGTGTGTTACACATGTGAAACCTGTTCATTCCCTGAAATGTACCATTCTCCCTTCTTCACAGATCCCAGCCCTATTCCATATGTCTAAGTCTTTTTCATTTTTTTATGAGCAGGGTATGGAGTCAGGAAACCAGATACACTCTCCAAGTTGGAACGAGGGGAAGAACCATGTACAGTACAGGATGAGCTTCATGGTCTGGCCTCTCCAGGTGAGTGGGTGAGAACCAGCAAGATGGCAGCAGGGAATTCACATTTTAGTTAGAGAACTTGTCAGAGCTGTGACAGTGATTGGAGGAACTAACACCACCCCTCCATGTATGAGAACACTTTTTCTTTGTAGAAGTTCAGAAGAAAATATACCCCTTTTTTCTCTTCTGAGCTCTGACCCCTGTTTATTTTATTTACATCTTGTTTATGTTTACATTGGCTTTTCCCCCCTAGGATTCTCAGGTCTTCCTCCTTTCTGTCCACAGCCACACTGTTTCTGACTTGTGTTACCACTTCTTTTACTATAAAATTCCATTTTCCAGGCCTCTCTGGAAAGACAGAACTTTGGATTCATCACTTTTTTACTACTGGGTCTCCCTGCTCTGTTTGGAAATAGTGTTTTTCCTCCATAACATCCAACCTGCCTTGGATGCCTTATCCCTGTGATAACCTGGTTTTCACGGTGTGTTTATGTCATTCTTTGTCCCTCTCCCTCCAAGGTTCTTAATACTCAGTTCATCACTCTTAAATGTCTCCTCTATTCCTATGAGTTAACCTCTTTCTGTTCTGTGAAATGGACTCCCAAATTGACTTCTTCATCAATATTGTCTACTGTACGCTTTCTTCCTGTGTATTTTACTCATTGTCAGCTGGCCTCTTTTTCTCATTCTTTTTAAAATTTAGTTTATCTTTCTGCACTAGACATTTTAAATTCTCTTCATCTTGGTATCACCTGGGATGTCCCCTACATGCTGAGCTCTCTACTATTTCATTTAATGAACAAGAAAAGATTTTTTTAACATGCTTTATCAGTTCTTGCCTAAACTAGGTTATAACTTATGTCTGCTTTCCTAGTTTTCCTAATTCAGATTTTGCTTCATTCTTAGATGTTATCAATGCATTTATTCTACAATAGGTTTTGTTTTCACATCATATTTTTAATGGTTTTACTTAGATTTAATTCACATACCATACAACTTATCCATTTAAATGATATAGTTAATTAGTTCTTAGTATATTCATATAGTTGTGCAATCATCACCTCAGTCAGTTTTGGAACATTTTATACATGCATATTCTCATCGTTGCCTTGATTCCTATAGCTTTGTATTATGTTTCAGACACTTTTGATTTCTGGATCCTTTAATTTCCCTTTGTATTTTAGAATCAGCTTGTGAATTTCTGGGGGGGGAAACAGCTTAGTTTTTGATAGGGATTACACTGAATCTGTATCAGTTAGGTAGGAGTTTCATCTTAATCATATGCTACATCCTAACCCAGAATCATTGGATGTTTTTCTCTAATTTGGTCTTTACTTTCTTTCCACAACGTTTTATAAATTTCAGAATAAAAGTTTTACACTGTCTTTCCTTAAATTTCTTCCTAAATGTGATATTCTTTTTTATGATGAAGTAAGTGGAATTGTTTTCTTGTTTGTATTTTCTGGTTATATATTGCTAGGATATAAAAATAAAATTGATTGCTTTCCCATCATATTCTGATGACACTTATGCCCAGGTAACCGAGTTTCCTGTCATATGGAACTGCAGTTTCTCTCTCAGTGATCTCTGTGATACGCTATCATCTTGCATAGAAAGTCTGTCCTCTTCCTAAACATTCCTTAATGTGTTCTGTACCTGTGATTGCCTCCTGCAATTGATATGATTGCTATATATTTTTTAAAGTTGCATTTTGATAGCCTGATATTTTTTAAAGCTAACAGTAGTATTAAAAAAAGATTTAAAAAAGTAGACCTTTTCCTAGCCAGTTTGGGTTTCGTCGCATGGACTGAAGGATCCCAGGTTCGATTCCTGCCAAGGGCAGGTACCTCGGTTGCAGTCTCAATCCCTGGCCCCAGTCAGGGTGCATGCTGGAGGCAACCAATCGATGTATCTCTCTCACATTGATGTTTCTCTCTCTCTCTCCCTTCTACTCTCTGAAAAGCAATGAAAAAAATGTCCTCAGGTGAGGATTAAAAAAAAAAGTAGACCTTGTCTCTACTCTGCATATTACTTTCATTCTCAGCAGAGGTATTATATAAACATGTCCTAGGGTATAAATTGCTATAAGGAATATTAACACACTGAGTCACGCCAGTTGGGCCCAAATATAGTTCTTATTCTGCAACATTTAGATTGTCCTAAATGGTTACTTTACATGAAGGCATTTTGTAAAAACAGTTTTATTTCAAACTAAGGTTATGAGAGATTATAGAATGAATCACTGTTTTCTTCTGTCCTAGTAGTTGGTAACGTTGATGATCCTCAGTGTCACTTGCAAAGTCAGAAGAGTGTGAAACGATGCTGTGAACATAATATGTTTGCAAATATTGTTAATCAGAGAGAAGGCCATTGCCTTTTAAAGCAAAATTGCAATATGTTTGAGATACGTGAAAAACTTCTAATATCAAATTTAAGTTTTGAAAACCAAAACAGTAGCTGTAACTTAAAGAACTTTGTTGATTGGAATGGAGATGGGACACCCATTCTGCATGCTAACCATGAACAATTTTACACTAAAATTAAATTGCCTGTCAGTACCAAGCCTATCAATAATAAGTCCCAGGTTATTCAGCAACAGAACACTCACAACATAGAGGAAGCCCACATACGCATTGAATGTGGGGAAGCCTTCATGAAGATGTCTCAGCTCAGTGGTCATCAGAGAGTTCATACTAGCGAAAAACCTCATGGATGCAGTCCATGTAGTAAAACCAGCTCCAGAAAATCTAGGCCCACTGAAAATCAAAGAATTCATATAGGACCAAAACAATATGAATGCACTGAATGTGATCAAACCTTCCTCAAGACATCACAGTTCAATATACATCAGAAAACTCACATGGGACAGAAACGTTATACTTGTAGTGAATGTGGGAAAGCGTTCACCAAAAAGTCTCGGCTCATTTATCATCAGCGAACTCATACAGGAGAGAAACCCCATGGATGCAGTTTATGTGGGAAGACCTTCTCTACAAAGTTCAGTCTCACTACCCATCAAAAAACTCATACAGGAGAGAAACCCCATGGTTGTAGTCTATGTGGAAAGACCTTCTCTACAAAGTTTTGTCTCACTAACCATCAGAACACTCATACAGGAGAGAAACCCCATGGATGCAGTCTATGTGGGAAGACCTTCTCTACAAAGTTCAGTCTCACTACCCATCAGCAAACTCATACAGGAGAGAAACCTTATATATGCACTGAATGTGGAAAAAGCTTTTCAGTGAAGCGCGGCCTTATCCTACATCAGCGAACTCATACTGGAGAAAAACCCTATGTATGTAATGAGTGTGGGAAAGACTTCACCTGGAAGAACACTCTCATCAGACATCAGCGGGCACATACAGGAGAGAAGCCGTATGTATGTAGTGTATGTGGAAAAGGCTTCACCATGAAGACTGATCTCACTGTACATCGAAGAACTCATACTTCAGAGAAACCATATCTGTGCAGTGAGTGTGGGAAAGGCTTTTCAATGAAGCACTGCCTCATTGTACATCAGCGAATTCATACTGGAGATAAACCTTATGTATGTAATGAGTGTGGGAAAGGCTTCCCCTGGATGTGCCCTCTCATCAGACATCAGCGAGGACATACTGGAGAGAAGCCCTATGTGTGTAGTATATGTGGAAAAGGCTTCAGCATGAAGGGTGGTCTCACCGTACATCAACAAACTCATACTTCTGAAAAACCATATATGTGCAATGAATGTGGGAAAGGCTTTACTCAGAAGTATAAACTCAATGTACATCAGCGTACTCATACAGGAGAGAAACCTTATGTATGCAGTGAATGTGGAAAAGGCTTCCCAGTGAAGAGCAAGCTGATTGCACATCAACAGATTCATACAGGACGGAAACCTTATATACTGTAGTGAAAGGAGAATGACTTCACCTTGAAGAACCCTCTCATCTGACACCATTGAACACATACAGGAGAGATGCCTTATGTATGTAGTATATGTGGAAAAGGCTTCACTGTGAAGACTCGTCTCAGTGTACATTCACTTATATGGGAGAGAAACCCTGTTTTGTGATGAATGTGTCAAAGGCTAAACTGGAAAAAGCATGCTCATTGCACATCTGCAAATTCATATGCAGATGAACCGTAAATATGCAGTGGAACGGACTTCACCATGAAGAATACTCTGGGTGTACATCAACAAACTCCACTGCAGAGAAGCCATACAAATGCAATGAATGTGGTGAAGGCTTTAGGAAGAAGACATGCCTCATACAACAGCAGAGATTTCATCAAGGAAAGCCTTCCTTTGCATGTTCTGAATGTGGAAAATTCTCATTGTTATAAAATGATCTCATTACCCATCAGAATTGACATGGGAGAGAAACCCTATGAATGTAATAAATATGGGAAAGCCTTCACTATGAATTCAGGACTCAATGCTCATCAAAGAAAGCATACAGGAAAGAGGCCCTATGGGTGCAGTGATTATGGGGTAGCTTTTGCCCACTTGTTAATCCTTGTTAAACATAAGAGAATTACAGAATACACTTTTGGGAAAACCTGTTGCCAGTTGCAGGCCCTCAAGATGATAATGTGCAGTGAAGAATAATTTAATGCAAAGAATGTATTGCTGTATTTACTGTCCAATTACCTCATTTTATATCGGTGAAAAAATTTACAAAACAACTCAGATACAGTGAGCCTTGGTGAAAATATTTTAGAACATTATATGTCTAAAATGTGTATACTGTGATAAATCCTATGAATGTGATGGACTAAAGAAACTCTTTAGTGGGAAGTAGATCCTTCCATATGTGATCATCAGAGATCATGAATGAATATTTTTAATTGTGGGAAAGCGTCTTCCAAAAAGTAAGGCATCAAGAGATGTCAGTTCATACTAGAGAAATAGTTTTTTCTGGCAGTGAATATGGCATGGTTTGCAATTTATGTTACTTCATCTTTTGCCAGGAAATCCATCCAGAAATAACTCATAAATATTCAATTTGGTGGCAAAACCTCAGGTAACTTAATCAAGGAAAGAAGAATTGAATGAAAAACCATTCTGCCATATGACTAAACATATACCTCACAAGCCATTGGTGCCAGGATACCTTCAGCCATATTTCTAGTTGCCTTGTCATTGATATTATAAGTTTCAAACTGGCAGTTGCCCTCATTGTGGATTAAACTTTAATATATACAACACAGGAGTGGTCTATGCCTATTTTATCATGTAATTAACTTTTGCATTTTTTTACTTCATACTTTGTTATTTCAGAATATTTGAAGTACTTGAAAATGAAACAGTATATTCATTTCATAACAAAAACAGCATATTTGGATTTGTTTAACCAAATTTATAAGTAGCATCAAGTGGTTTATAAAATTAAATATGATTTATATATATTTTTTATTATTCCTGTTAATCCTCACCTGAGGTTCTTTTTTCCACTGACGTTTAGAGAGAGTGGGAAGGAGGGAGGGGGAGGGAGGGAGAGAGAAAGAGAAACATCGATTGGTTGCCTCCCACATGCACCTGGATTGGGCCAGGGATTACACCTCCCAACACTATCACCTGAGCCACACCAGCCAGGGTGAGAAAAACACATCTTGATTGGTTCCCACCATACACGCCCTGACCGGGAATCGAGCTGGTGCCCTTTTGGGTGTGGGATGATGTTCCAGCCAATTGAGCCACAGTGGCCAGAGCGGCATTTTCTTTTTGAATTTGTACAATAACCTAGGAAACGGAAACTAATACTGAATTGTTGGAAACACCCAGGATTAAAGACATGAAGTAGGTTCTCCAAGTTCACACAACAGTGAAGTGTCAGATTTTAAAGGCTGGGCTCCAACTGGGATTCTGGCACCAGGACCAGGAAAAATATCTACCACTGTTGAGAATCTCTCAGTGGGACAGGTACACTGTTAGGAGCAGGGAGGCTTAGCTGAACCTGCTGTTTCCATTGTTGCAATTATCATGATTTTCCGCTTACTCCCCTAACATCCCAGAGCACTTTCTAATTTACACAAGTCTCTCTTCAGATTTATGTCACTGCAAATTTCTGTGGTCAAAGCTATTTCAACTCTACCATTTAGCTGGTCCCCACAGATTGCATCAGCCATCATCCTAATGAGCTCCGGGAATCTAACTCTGTTCTCTGATTTGTTAGAGGATATTAGGAATAGCCTGGGCCTTTAGGAGATCTGTATTGTTGTCCCCAGAGAGCATCATCTGAGTTCAGCTAGCAGCTTGCAGGACTGCCTTTTTTAGCAACAAAAATGCATATTTGGATTTTACTCATGTTGTGCCTTTTTTGCTTTAGGTAATGAGGAAAAGATTCACAGTTGTAATACCAAAAAATCCCAATAATAAATAATACTTCATTTTTTCCATACTCACAACTGTAAACCTACTTTTGCCCACCCCTGTATAAAATGAGCAGCATTCAGGAATGACAAGCATGTGGATCCTGAGGATTTTAAGAGCACATATTTAAAGTAGGGGGGGGGAAAGGGAATTTGAGTGCATTGGGAAGATGTTTCATGGACAAGAAAATGATGTACAATGTTCCCATGCCAGGAGTGTGCCAGAGTGTCAGACCACTATGGCCATTTTTCCAGTTTCAGGGTGCTCGAGATTATTATTTGGAAGTAACTTGTATAATTTATGGTAAGTTTTTACTTTTTTTCAACTCTTCTTGACTACCCACTGACCCACCTGCAGGGAGTCAGGTGCTGTGGACACTGAGGTCTCTGTGGGTTCTTAACCTGGAAATCTCCAGGTGACTTGCTAGAGCTCCCACCAGGTAAGTCCAGCACATGGCCCGTTATAGTGACTGTGTGTGACAGTTCTCCTGCCTTGGAAAGGTAAATGAGTGCAAATTCACAGTCACATTCCACACCTTCTGAACCAGAAACTATGTCTTTTTTAACAACAACCTGATGCGTGCCTTATTTTCACATTCTTTGCTCTAAATCCTGGATTACACCTCCTTTCACCTCCCATACAGTATACTTTGTAATGACGTGGTCACGTTGTGTTCTTGCCATTGATTTTTTTACTTATACTGGCCTCAGTTTAGTGGCATTTTTCAAAGTGCCCATCCCCAATTACAATTTAGGCTCATCTGATCCTGATGGCCATACTCACACTGTACCAGTTTCTGGAAATCTGTCTGTCCTTTTAAAAATACGATTCTAGGCCCTGCGCAGTGTGGTAGTCTGGGCTCTTGTGGGATGCAACCGACAGATGTCTCTGTGACATCATGTATCTCTCTGCCTCCCTCCTTCCTTTCCCCTCTCTTTAAAAATTAATGGGAAAAATACCGTCAGGTGAGGATTAACAAAAAACACTTCCAGCCAACTATTTTCAGGCCTGGGCTCTGTGGGTGTCACTTTACCAACAGTGTTAAATTGTCCCTTTCTAGGAGTGCCTCCTCCCTTGCTAAAATGACACCTGAACTAATTGCTTAGAAATGTTTTGTCTATTCACATATATAAATAGGCTTCACAGCTGCAGTACTTCTCTGCCTAGCCTCCAGAAATCAATTTTGCTTGCGCCGTGATTGCATCATGAAGTTCTGAAAATATACCCATTTTTCACAAGAGTCGAAGTGTCAGAAAAGGAGATAATTTTAGTAGCTTCACAGCTTCCCTCCATCCCTGGCTAACCCTAAAGCCCAGGCTCTGCCTTCTGTACGGCAGTCCCGTGTCCCAACATGGCGGCCCCCATGAGCGCGCCTCGACCAGGGCGCGGACATATTGCCTCAGAGGGGAAACGCGGAAGTCGCTCGACTTTCTGCGAATGCCTCAGATCCCATTCGGCCACCGTAGGAGACGATATCTCTGGGCGCCGGTTCCAGAAGCTGGTCCGGTTCGCGGAAGTGTAGCGTTTGGAGCCCCGGTGGGCTGGGGAAACAGGTGAGTGCGCTCGTGTCCTGGACGATTTTGGATAAATTTGGGCTCGCGGGAGGTTTGTCGCTCACAGGGTCCGGGACGTCACGGGTGGAAGGGGCGTGTTCTGACCCGTGAATTGTGGGCGGGGTCGGGAGGCAGGGTCGCCAAGGTGTTGGGAGGAAGCAGGCGAGACGCCCCTGTCTGGGGTCGGGGTACCTCGGGGTCCTCGGGCGATTANGTCGTGGCCTTTGCGGGTCCCTCTAAGGGACGGAGGTGGCGTCTCGGGTGCTCGCGGGTCAGGTTCAGGGTCGGGCCCTAACGTGGGCTCGGGGGTGTCGGGCCCCGAGAATGGCCTCCAGGCGAGGGCGTCGGGCCCAGGTCCGGGATAAGGAAGGCGCGTGGTCAGCCCGGGGGCCCCGAGACTCCCGAGGCCGAAGCTCCGGCCGCCCGGGCCCGGGCCTGTGGCTGCGGGAGGAGCGGGGTCCGTGGCTTTCCGCGGCGCCGGCGCCCCGCGGGTTTCCTGCCGTCGGTGAGCTCGTGCGGGCTGCGGTCCGGCCGGTGGCGGACGACGCTGCTGTGAGGTCCCCGTCGTGTCCTCCGGTTCGGACGCGCCGGCCTGGGGGCGTGTGGGGCGCAGATGGGAACCTCAGGGGAGGCGGGCCCGGGGCCAGCGGCCAGGAGCCCCTGCTCCAGCCTTTGTCCGGGGCCGGGCTCGCTGCAGGGGACACTGGCCCACCCGCGCCCCTCAGTCACTCCTGTCCGGCTGCAGAGGCAGGACTGCGTTCTTCTGACCCAGAATTATGGGCCTCAAAACGGAAAATACAGATCTATGCCTTTGCAGAATACGTTTGCTAGTACCTGCTCTCATCACTTAATTCGTAGCAGCAGGTGCACTTTTTTTTTTTTTCTAACAGACTCTCCATTTTATTGATATCTATCGCTCTGCTAAGGTAACCTGTACCCCTGTGTATTAATAAACCCTGGTCCGCCTTGGTCAGCTGTGGTGGTTCCAGTTCTGGGTTGCAGGTTTGATTACTGGTTAGGGCACATGCATGGTTGACTGAATGTACTATTACAAATAGTATCTTATTAGGCTTGTGATTATTCAACTCTATATTAAAATCCCCACTCGCTATATAGATGCAGCCTATAAAGTGAAAATGAGCAGAAAGACTAACATTTCTTCCATATCATCTGAAGGACATCACACCATTAAACAGCATGGAGTTGTTACTGGGACCCCTGACATTTCATGATGTGGCTGTGGCCTTCACCTGGGAGGAATGGCAGCTCCTGGACCCGGATCAGAAGGATCTGTACAGGGACGTGATGTTGGAGAACTACAGCCACCTGGTGTCAGTGGGTGAGGACAGCTCCCCTGTGTCACTCAGATTGTCCCCAGCCAGTGGCCTTTCCATTCTCAGCTTCTGAAAGCTCTGGCCTGTCTGTGGTTTTCTGAAGTGGTAGAGGAATCTTAGTTCCCTCTCTGGTCCTAGACAGGTATATTCTTTCTTTTCCTGAGAGAAAACCCTTTACTTTGTAAGTGTGAAAATTGTTTGTCTTCAGATATAACATCATGTGGTCATCACAGACCCCAGGTCCTATTCAGTGTGTCTAAGTCTCCCATCATTCCCCATGAACAGGTTATGAAGCCAGCAAACCAGACACACTCTCCAGATTGGATCACAGAGAAGCACCATGGACCACGGCGGGTGAAATCCACTGTCGGAACGGTTCAGGTGAGAGGCAGCTGTAAAAATGACAGTCTAGTCGTTTAGAGAAGAGGCTCAGAGGTGAAGGGGTCTGAGGATAGGTGAGTGAGCAGCGCCTCCATGCATGTCTCTCCCAGTAAGAGAACTCTTTCTCTTTGTAGGAGTGGAGAGAAAAATAGATCCCTTTATCTCTTCTGGGGTCTGACTCTCTTTATTGTATCTGTACCTTGGTTTTTTGTTTGGTTGGTTGTTTTTTAGATTTCTTAAATATTTCCTTTATTATTCATATTCTTTCATCTCTTTTGCTGATACTCCACTGTCCAAGGCCCCTCTCCAAAGAGAAAGCTGTGCTCACTGTCTTCTGACCTAACTCCTTTCTGCCCGTGGTGATGTTGATTCCCTTCCTAGCATCCACCCCATCTTGGATGCTGTGCCCACAAAGAAAACTGGTTCACTGAGCTTTTGCTTCTCTTTTTATCTTAGCTTTTCTTTTTCTTCACTTGAGGTTCTTTAAAGGTTCTCGTTTCCATTTTCTCATCTAATCCACTAATCCTTCAAAGTTTCTTCACACTAATCAGCTAAGCTTCTTTTGTTCCCTGCATGAAACTCTCATAATACCATCTCCCCAATGTGATCCACCACAGGCTCTATTCTGTAGAATTTACTCATCTAGATGGCAACTGTCCTGAGCTCCCAGTCACTGCAAGGACCTAGAATTATCATTCCTTCCAAAAGACCCCTGTAAGTTTAGATTCTCCTTCACCCCTGTGCATCTGCCCTCCTGGGCATCCAGCCATCACCTCAATTGTTCCTTACCCACAGAGCTTTCTTCTTTAAAGGATTCTGCTGTTCATGATGTGGTTTAACTAGACGATTTATTTCCACTACGTACATTCTCAGTTCCAGTCTAAACCAGACCATAATGCTCTTGCCTACTTAAAATTAATTCCTTTATGTAGTTGCTAATTTTGAACTTTATTCTTATTTACTGTCACATTACCATTGTAGTATTCACGTCCCTAAAACTCATTTTTCGTCTCACCATATTCTGAGGACATTCAGAATATGGTTAAATCCATTACCCATTAAATTTTTTTTTGTTAATTCTCACCCAAGGATATTTTTCTATTGATTTTTAGAGAGAGTGGAAGGGGGTGGGGGCAGAGAGCTAGAGAGAGAAACGTTGATGTGAGAGAGGTAAGCCCCTACTAGGATTGGGAATCAAACCTGCAACCCTGGGGTACAGGGGCCAGTGCTCTAACCACTGAGATCGCCAGCCAGGGAAACACTAAAATTTTTCTTCCTGTTGTCTGCATGATATATGTTGTTCACAAAGAGATAGATTTCCATCTTCTGTTCCGAAATGCTGCCCAGTGTGTTCCACATATGTTGCTTCCTTGATTCATTCTCTATAAAATATTTTCAGATAACCTAGTGTCTGCTGGAGGATAATAGCAGTGAGAAAAACCATTCCAATAGACCAAGAACTTTCATTATAAGAGAAGTAGTCAAAAAAACGTATCAAAACACACAACTAATATGTCTAGAGGGTGAAAAGTGCTGGGATAAAAATTCTGTCAGTAGAATGGAATAGTAGGTGCTGGGGCGGGGGCTGCTATTTTTATCAGTGGGAAAAAATATCCCCAGCTGAGGATTAAAAAACCATGAGATAATAACCCTCTAAGGACTCCTGAGTTAGAGGACTGTTATATAATTTATGTGGAAAGATCATTTTGGCTCCTGGATAGAAAACAGAGTTGCCGACTGGGGAGGAACAGGAAACCCAGGCAGAAGGCTACTGCTGTAGAATAAGAGAGTGACTTGCTTTCATGTGTGGAGTTAGTCCAGTTCTGGACATATTCATTAGGGAGAGCAGGCAGGATTTATCACTGAGGTAGATGCTATGTGTGAGCGAGAGAAACAAATGAAGGGTGATGCTGAAAAGTTTGGTTCTGGTTAAACAGAAGAGTGGACCTGTCATTTATGGTGATGGAGATAGTAAGTGGAGAAGGATTTGGGTTGGGCAATCAGGGGTTCTGCTCTGGAGGTTGTTAGTCAGAGGTGCTAGGAGCTCTCTGCTGTGTCATCATCTTATTCTCAGCATGCTGATGAGAATCATGAATCCACAGCGAGTCCTGGCTTCTTCCAAAATGTAGCCTGTTTTCCTCCACCTCTCTCCATCTCCACTGCACTGCACCTTCCCACCTGTTTTCACAATCTACATCTATTACTTATGTGTGTCTTTGCCCCTTAAGTGGCTTCAGCAAAGTACAGTGTAGGCTCTGGGAACAGGAGAACTGTGTTTGTGTGTCCCCAACCTGGAACCATCTTGGTACATAGTAGTCATCAGTGAGGAGTGTGGAAGGAGTGAGTCTGTCCCTCACAAATTTGGATGAGGTGGCCCTTTTCTGTGTGTCTGCTGATACTGTAAATTGCCTATATTTTACATTCTGCATGTTTGTCAGTACCTTAGAAAGCAGACAAATCTGTATTTCATCATAATGTATTATGGAACCTGTTTTTACACTCAACTTTTACCTTTGGTTTCTTTATATTGTTGTGTTTTCTATGTGCAAGGAACATTGAATACAGAATTTTGTTTACACTCCCATCACAAAGTCATCACTAAAATGACACATCAGGGTGTTGTTGTCTTTATTACCTTTCTTCCAAGTCAAGATGCTGGATGAGTTCATTGTTCTTTTCTTTCCTAGAACTCTGGAAACTTGATGACCATGTGCTGGAACACTTACAGAATGAGAGCTTAGAACAATGGTACAAATTTAACACATTTGAAAATACTGTCCATCAGAACACAACCCAATCTCTGTTACCACAGAACCATATATCTGGCTCACATGGAAAAAGCATGAAATCAAATTTATCTTTATTTCACGAGAGTAGAAGTTATGAAATCAAGATGCCCACTGAGATTTCTGAAGATGGAAAATCCTTTCTCCATGCTAACAGTGAGCAATTTCAGGCTGAAATGAAATTTCACAAAAGCCAAAAACTCATCAGCACTAAGTCCCAACTCATCAAACATCAGAAACCTCAGAAAAGAGAGAGGGCTCACGTATGCAGTGAATGTGGGAAAGCCTTCGTGAAGAAATCTTGGCTCACTGATCATCAGATTATTCATACAGGTGAAAAGCCACATCAATGTAGTGTGTGTGGGAAAGCCTTTTCCAGAAAGTTCATGCTTACTGAACACCAGAGAACGCACACAGGAGAGAAACCTTATAAATGCTCTGAATGTGGCAAAGCATTTCTCAAAAAATCACGGCTCAGTATACACCAGAAAACACACACAGGAGAGAAACCCTTCATATGCAGTGACTGTGGGAAAGGCTTTATCCAGAAGGGCAATCTCATTGTACATCGGCGAATTCACACAGGGGAGAAACCTTATATATGCAGCGAATGTGGAAAAGGCTTCATTCAGAAGACATGCCTCATAGCACATCAGCGATTTCACACAGGAAAGACGCCCTTTGTGTGCAGTGAATGTGGAAAATCATGTTCCCAGAAGTCCGGTCTCATTAAACATCAAAGAATTCACACAGGAGAGAAACCCTTTGAATGCAGCGACTGTGGGAAAGCCTTCACCACAAAGCAGAAGCTCATTGTCCATCAAAGAACTCATACAGGCGAGAGACCCTATACTTGCAACGAGTGTGGGAAAGCTTTTGCCTACATGTCTTGCCTTGTGAAACATAAAAGAATACACACAAGAGAAAAACATGGTGGTTCAGTCAAGATGGAAAATTCTCTCACAGAGAGTCCCAGCTCATCACAGACCAGTGTGGTCCTGCAGGAGAAAAACCGTGTTAATACGGTGACTATGCAGGTGCCTTCTGTGGCCCCTCAGACAGCACTAAACATCGGTGGGCTCCTAGCGAACAGGAATGTGGTCATAGTGGGCCACCCTATGGCCAGATGTGCACCCTCAGGAGGATTTGCACAGGACAGAAACCTTATGAATGCAGTGAGTGTGGTCTCACCTTCAGTGATCAATTACGTGTTATTTTATGTCACAGGAAACCAATAGGAGACATTCTATATGCAAAAATTTGGTAAAAAATTTCTAGTTCAGATTATGGTTGAAAAGTCTATCCTGAGAGAAATTCTATAAATGCTGAAACTGGGAAGTAGTGATATTCTCATCTTGTTAAATATATGCACTGATACTAAGGCATAGTCTGGTGTTAACCCAAACACATATATCAGTTGGTCTATTGTGTCATTTAAAGAAATCAAAGAAGCTATGTGGAGGCATAGTGAATTTTTGAAACATAAAGATAATTTGTATCTGAAATGTTGATGTGAGTGAAAACCACTAAAGAGCTAATACTGGATTGGTGGGATATGTGCATGTATTTATCAATTCAGTTTCCCAGGCCAGGTGAAGGGTTAACTGAAAATGGGAGTGTCTACCATAAACTCTCAGAAGTTTATATTATGCAGAGGTACTTTTGAAACAGCAGGCTTAGATTGAGTTGATTATTTATACTGAGTTTTTGTCAAACACTTCCTTTGTACCTGGTTCTGTTCCAGGAGCTGAGGATAAGGTAGTGATCAAAACAGAAGCAGGCCATGGTGTCCTGGAGAGAGCATTGAGGTAGAGTCATCTTATCTCTAAGTGGCACCTGTACACACCAGCTAATAGAGTAAGAGTATGTCAGTATCTACACTTGTGACATGGACATGGTCTTAGCTTGTTCTCGTTGCTGTAAGACAATACCATAGCCTGGGTGGCTTATAAAAGCAGACATTTATTTCTTACAGTTCTAGAAGCTTTGAAGTCCCAGGTCAAGGCACCAGCACATTGGTGCCTGTTGAATGGTTGCTTCCTGGCTCATAGAAGACAGTTACTTTTCATGTCCTCACATGGAGGAAGGGGCAAAGGAGCTCTCTAGGATGTCCTTTATAAGGGCAGCAATCCCATTCATGAGGGCTCCAATTACAGTTGACGTATAGCATTATATTAGTTTCAGGTGTACAACATAGTGATTAGGCATGTATATTACTCAAAATTATCACCAGGTAAGTCCAGCACAGGGCTGTTTCCAATGATTGTCTGACAGAAACGAATACCAATTCCCCGGTCACATCTTACACCCCCTAAACCAGAAACTCCAATCCTGGGCTGGGGTCTAATTCATTAGGTCTAAGCACCTCTGGAATGTCTCACCTCTAAATACTATCACATTTGGGGTTAGGCTCCAATGAATGAATTTGGGGGGAAAATGAATACTTCATAGCAAACATGGAGTAATTGTTTCAAGGGGTTATGGTAATTTCCTGTTCAAGGGGCTTATTATTTGGAGGGAGGGCAAGGACTCCTCTTAATGGACTTTAAGCACCTCAGTAAAGTATTTTTTTAATGTTTGTATATTATCTCTCCAACTAGATGGAAAATTCCTTGGTAAATTTTTTACTCTTTACATTTTATATTTTTTTCACTGTTAAAATGTTTTAATATCTATGTAAAATGAGATTATGGTCTCACAAGCGTGTTTCAGAACAGAAACAATGATTTCTAAAACAGTTTTTTTTCCTTTCAAAAGCCTAAATATAAATATATAAATTTTAGGGATTTTTAAAAATATCATGGTATATTTCCCATTTTAATTTATCTATAGTTCACAGACATGCAAAAATAACTTACTTCCAAATCAAAGCCTCCAATAGAAATATTCAAATTAAAAACCACAATTTTAATTTACATACGGGCCATAAAACCCATCAAGAAACCATGCTTCCTCCCTCACCTCTTTCTAGGTCATTGATGGCATTAACAGTACTTAGCCCTCCTTTGTCAGCGTCTAGACATCCCTGGTTCGGTCTATGTCCATTTTCTTCACTGCATCACACTTGGCAAGGCACCCACCAGCACTACACAGGGTAGGAAATGGGTCAGGAAGAACATAATGGCTTGACTAAAAAGCTAACCATACATCTTGGGCCTGCCGATTGAGTGAGGATATTAAGGAATGTGAAATTCAAGGAGGGATTTCTTTTTTTCCATTCTCTCCAAGGTGCCAGCATGTACAGTACTGGGAAGTAAATAGTAAAGGAAGGTGGAAACAGCCACATAAATGAAAACTCCCTAGAACTAAAAGTATACAAAATGCAAACTATAGTGGGCCAAAGAATTTACTCCCATTTGGGTTTACCTGTGGCTGCAAGAGAAAAGTTCATAAATTAGGGGACAATTTCGATGTACTGAGGGATCAGCAATTTGCATAAGAATATAAAAATATTTTTCAAGAGTTGTGTGTGCTTCATTGTTGAATTTGGTGCTGACAGTCAAAAAATAGCCAAATAAAATAAACCTCAAATATTTTCTTTTTACTATACTCACTTCCAAAAGTTACAAAGCACCTTTTTCTTTTTTCTTTTTTTAAATATATTTCCATTGGTTTCAGAGATAGAGGAAGGGAGAGGGAGTGAGAGAGAGAAACATCAAGGATGCGAGTCATTGATCAGCTGCCTCCTGCACGCCCCCTACTGGGGGTGAGCCAGAAACCGGGGCGTGTGCCCTGCCTGGGAATGGAACCAGGATCTCCTGGATCCCAGCCACGCAGGCCGGGCTGTTTGATTTTTAACAGCAGCCAGATGCACCCCTCATTTTGACATTCCTTGCCCTAAATCCTGGGTTATACCCTCATCACCACCCTTACAGTATTCCTTGTAATGGGATGGATTCAGGTTGTGCCCTTAACACTGATTCCACACTTCTACTGGCTTCACTTTAGTGGCATTTCCCCGAGTCCCCACCCCCAGTGACTACTGAGCTCCTCGCAGACGAGCCCTCCTAGTTGGCCAGCCTCACACTACCAGTTTCTAGAAATCTTCTCAAAAAATGCCTCTGACTAACTGCTTTCCGGCTAGAGCTATAGGTGGGTGTCCTTTCAGCACCTGTATTACTTTGTCCCTTCCAGGTGCGCCTGTTCGCTTGGAAACGTGCGTGCGTGCGTGCGTGCGTGTATAATGTGGAGAATATGCCCTGCGGCCATAGTACTTCTCTGCCCAGTGTTCTGAAAGCAACTTAGGTCCCAACGTGTTTGCACCGCGAAGCCCTGAAAATTTATCCATTTTCCGCAAGGGTGGACGTGCCAGAAAAGGAGCCATCTTCAGCAGCTCCTCAACTTCCCGCCATCCCTGGCTATAGGCCGCGAGCCCCGCTCTGCCTTCTGTACGGCACTTATATGTCCCAACATGGCGGCCCCCACGGCGCTACCGCCCGATGGGCGCGGACATATTGCCGCCAAATACCGGAAATCGTCGTCGGGAGTTTCTTCAGCCGCCTGTCCTACTCGGCCACCCTAGAGGGAGCAATACCCGTGCAGAAGTTTAAGCTGTTCGCGGAAATACCACGTTTGCGCTCTCCTGGTGGGTGTGGGGGCAGCTCAGGTGAGTGTGTGGTTTTGTCCCCGGAAGTTTTTTCGTCACAGGAGAAGTTTTGTTTCTCACAGGGCGACGTGTGGACGGGGTGGTGTGTGGAGCACGGAACTGTCCCCGGGGCGGCGGGGGAGGCAGGAGCGCCGGGGCGGAGGTGGCCTCGGGACTTGAGGTGCTCGGGGAGCAGACGGGTCTGTCTGTGGTCTGGGCGCCCCAGGGAGAGGGGGCGGTCTGTGCACAGCCTCGTAGTCTGTAGAGATACGAGGAAGTCCGGGTCTGTCGGTCACGCGTGGTGGTTCCGGGGCCCATCGCCAGTGACTGAATTATGATGAAATGAGCTGAGAGACGTTGTGTAGCTCTAACCACCTGTATAGGTGAAAATCTTAGTTTCTGGGAGAGGATTTTCTCTTTTAAATGCGCAGTTCCGGGAATAGGAAGGGGAGCAGTTTGCCACCCTGAAATAGGCTGCTTTGGGATATCGGCTTTTGTAGGCTGGTTGATTCCAAGGAGCCGCAGCCCTGGGAGCAGCTCAGAAAACCTAATAGAAGTCACCCCTTGTGAAGGACATTTACATTTGTAAGGGCAATTTGTCATCTATAAGGGTGGCTCTCTCACTAAACCAAACCGGCCTGAACTGTCGGTGGAGGAAGCAGGACTTAGGTCTGCATAACAGCCTTAAGCTTGTTTACTGTGCTATATATATATACACACACACACACACACACACACACACACACACACACACCCCACCCCCTTATTGATTTCAAGGAGAGGGAGAGAGAGAGAAACATCGATGATGAGTCATTGATTGGCTGCCTCCTGCAGGCCCAGGAGTGGGAATCGAGCCCCCAACCCCCGTATGTGCCTTGATCAGGAATTGAACCGAAATCTCCTGGATCCTAGATGGATGCTCAGTTGCTGAGCCTCGAGGGGCCGGGCTACTGTGCTTTTCTTGGTAACCTCCCATGACTCTCCACCCCCAATATCTTTTGACTCCAGATGAAGGTGGTTTTTCAGGTGATGGCATTTGCCGGTGGGCCAGTACTCAGGAGGTATGCATGTTATTAACCCTTCTGATTGTTTCTCTCCTGTTAATCTTTGTTGCATGAATTTAATTATTAGACCAGCCAAAGAACCTAGAAGAGAAGAAGGAAAAATTATTCTCCCCTACAGTGTCATTTCCCTCATCTTCTTTCGCAGCGTGTCACTTTCACTCCAGAGAATACAGGAAGAGCACCGCCACATTTAGAACCTAAGGCTTTATTGGCCCCGAAGAATAAATGCTTCCCGGCCCGGCCTGTGTGGCTCCATGGTTAGAGCATGGGCCTGAGCACTGGAGAGTGGCAGGTTTGATTCCTGGTCAAGGGCAGGTACCTGGTTGACAGGTCCGGTTCCTGCCCCTGGTCCAGGCGCTGTGGGAGCAAACCAATCAGATGTGTCTGTCACATCGATGTTTCTCTCTCTCTTCTTCCACTCCCCTTCCAATCTCTCTAAATTCAATGGAAAAAATATCCTCACTCAGGTGAGGATAAAAAAATAAATACTTGCAGGAGACCAAATAAAGGGAGACCAGTGATGCTGTGGGCCTTGCCATCAGGAGCCCTGGAGCATGGGGTCCCAGAGGAAACCTACTACTCACTGAATTTTTTCAACCCACAGGCTCTCACTCCTCAGGAGCAATAGAATCATGTGAAGTAGGAGAAGCTGCACAGTTGAGTATCAGCATTTCCAGGGACACACCAGACTGAAGAGAGATTTCATAACAGAAATTTAGAGCTGACCCAGAGCACACAAGACAGAGCCTCCATGTTGTCACCTCTTCTCAGGGAACAGAAGAAAATGCTCCAGGCTCAGGTGACTTTGGCTTTGCCTTCTCTGTCTTCATTAATGGATTTCTAGAGGCCTGTGGAAAACCTTTCTTAATCTGAACAGTATATGTGTGTGTGTGTATACACACATATCTTTTGTCTCTCAAATATACAAATTTGGTGTTTTTAGGTTCACAAGAACATTTAACTTGTTCACAGCATAGAAAATCCTAATTGGATGATTGAATGCTCAATTACAAAATGCAAGGTGGTGCAAAAGTAGGTTTACAGTTGTGAGTATATGAAAAGAGTTGACTCTTGTATTGTTTATTAATTATTGTGCTATTTTCCATAGGAACAATGGTAAACCGAATTTCCCCCCACCCTGCATTTTACTAGACATTTGATTATTCAACTTTATATTAACCTAAAACCCTACTCGCTGTATAGGTACAACCTATAGAGTGAAAATGAGCAGAAAGACTAACATTTCTTCCATATCATCTAAAGGACATCACACCATTGAAAAGCATGGAGTTGTTACTGGGACCCCTGACATTTCATGATGTGGCTGTGGACTTCACCTGGGAGGAGTGGCAGCTCCTGGATCCGGATCAGAAGGATCTGTACAGGGACGTGATGTTGGAGAACTACAGCCACCTGGTGTCAGTGGGTGAGGACAGCTCCCCTGTGTCACTCAGATTGTCCCCAGCCAGTGGCCTTTCCATTCTCAGCTTCTGAAAGCTCTGGCCTGTCTGTGGTTTTCTGAAGTGGTAGAGGAATCTTAGTTCCCTCTCTGGTCCTAGACAGGTATATTCTCTCTTTTCCTGAGAGAAAACCCTTTACTTTGTAAGTGTGAAAATTGTTTGTCTTCAGATATAACATCATGTGGTCATCACAGACCCCAGGTCCTATTCAGTGTGTCTAAGTCTCCCATCATTCCCCGTGAACAGGTTATGAAGCTAGCAAACCAGACACACTCTCCAGATTGGATCACAGAGAAGCACCATGGACCACGGCGGGTGAAATCCATTGTCGAAGCGGTTCAGGTGAGAGGCAGCTGTAGAAATGACAGTCTAGTCGTTTAGAGAAGAGGCTCAGAGGTGAAAGGGTCTGAGGATAGAGGTGAGTGAGCAGCGCCTCCATGCATGTCTCTCCCAGTAAGAGAACTCTTTCTCTTTGTAGGAGTGGAGAGAAAAATAGATCCCTTTATCTCTTCTGGGGTCTGATTCCTCTTTATGGTATCTGTACCTTGATTTTTTTGGTTTGGTTCTGTTTTTTAGATTTTTTTTTTTTAATTCTCACCGAAGGATATTTTTTCCATTGCTTTTTCAGAGAGAAAGAGCGAGAGAGAGAAACATGGATATGAGAGAGACACATCAATTGATTGCCTCCCATACTCCCCAACTGGGGCTGGGGATGGAGCCTGCAACTGAGGTACGTGCCCTTGGCCAGAATTGAACCTGGGACCCTTCAGTCAGCGGGCTGATGTTCTAACCACTGAGCAAAACTGGCAAGGGCATAAACTTTTTTTATTTTTTAATGCTCACCAGAGGATATTTTTTCCATTGCTTTTCAGAGAG